TAATTTAATCGAGTACGCACCAAATGATAAAAAAGATATTGTGTATATAAAAAGTGCTTCAAAAAACATAATTAAAACACAAACACTTCATTTCTTTGAGTGGCATTGCAATGCATGCCGGGTACTCGCTAGTATTTTATATATTTCTAATTTGAACTCTGAATGTCAAAAATATGTTTATAAGTCAAATATTTTTATAAACTATTGAAAAATGTAAATTATTTTTCTTTTCATATAGCACATCACCTATTGTCATAGTTTACAATTTCTTGAATTTTATGTAAGTAAATAGATGTATAAACCATTAAAATTCGAATGCATTTTTATTTTCAGTTGCCTTTTTAACTTATTCCAATTTGGGCCATTGCCCCTGATCTTGTTGTTTTTTTTTATATTAGCTTTGTACCAAATTCAATTTCTTGGAAATGCTCAAGTGTCAAGTACATGCCTAGTTATCTTGAAACCGTTCTTTGTTATAGATTACTGGATGTATACTCATTGATCTTCGGTCTAGCTACTCGCCTTGATAACAATAAATATTCAGAGCAATGATTGTTTAGACTAGGAACTTCACTTTCAATTTGATTATTTATTTTTTAAAAGTGATCTCTAACAAACAAAAAAAAAACAGAAATTACTTAGAATTTTTAAAATCAATGAAATTCCGATATTTAAAAAGTTTTTTTTTTTTTAATGTTTTCAATTTTAAATTTAAAGCTTCCCCAAATCATTATTTTTAAAATTTTTATTTTATATTTTTTTTGATTGCTACTTTTTTTTATTATTTTTATAATATTCAGAGCAATGATTGTTTAGACTAGGAACTTCACTTTCAATTTGATTATTTATTTTTTAAAAGTGATCTCTAACAAAAAAAAAAAAAACAGAAATTACTTAGAATTTTTAAAATCAATGAAATTCCGATATTTAAAAAGTTTTTTTTTTTTTAATGTTGTCAATTCTAAATCTAAAGCTGCCCCAAATCAGTATCTTTAAAATGTTTATTTGATATTTGTTCTGATTGCTACATTTTTTTATTATTGTTAAATGATCATTTGAATGTTTAGAATTTTATTTTAATTTCATGTAATTTCCCTAGGCTGGGGTACAGCGCTAAATAAATTACACTGTAATAATAATGTAATAATAATGATAATAATACTATTTTACGACGTATATATATCTTATTCTATTTTTTATATACATTAACTGTTATTTCAATCTAATTTCATAATCTTCCTTTTGTTTGAGTTTATATCGAAACAAGTTTTGTGTCATTGGATCCCTGAAATATTTCTTTTAAAAGCCGTATCCCAAGATAAAAAGGCTATGTGCTTGTATCTGTATGTAGGTATTGTTTTTTTTTTTTGTAAATGTGTTGTTGTTCTGAGTGACGTGTTTCAAACGAGAGAAGATAAGCCTAGAAAATTATGGACACACACGTCATGATCATAGAGACGTGACTTGTGGCCATCAGGAAATTTTTCTCCATACCTGTAGGTAATCACCCTAAGATTATAGGATCCCGTCACCGGCACTTTCCATTGGTGGAGAACTGTTGATATGATCAAGTCAGTCGTCAGCAACATTCAAAGCTCTGATCAGACTAATTATGAGCTTGTCACACTGAGGTAGACTAACACGGTTATTGAATACATCCAACATGTAATTAAATACGAATCATAATACACACTTTCGTGTTTTTGAGGTTCTCGGTCAGTGTTCATGCTAATCTTTAAATTCAGCTAGAGTTCAAGTGAGCTAGAGTGCAATTAAGCTAGGGTTCAATTGAGCTAGAGTTCCATTCAGCTAGAGTTCAATTCAGCTAGAGTTCAATGCAGCTAGAGTTCAATTCAGCTAGAGTTCAATTCAGCTAGAGTTCAATTCAGCTAGAGTTCAATTCAGATAGGATGGGACTACTCAATGTAAAGAGTTAACTTTTCTGGCATATTCTTTGTGGTCCGTAAATGCTTTTTTTTATTTGCTTGTTGTTGTTTTTGTTGCCACTTGTTTCATTGAGCGCATTTGTATGGAAGCAGCACATCGAGTGGCGAACCTTGGAGGACTGTTTCCACATGTCCGGGTTGATATAAATTGCTATCAAAGTGTATTTATTTTAAAGGTTTTCTTCTGTCCCCCGATCAAAAAGCCCACGCTGCTTGAGTTCATCATTCATTCTTCTTCTTTCCCAAATGTTCCACTGATATTCTCGCAACATGCCCCGTCCAGCGAAACTGAAACAAAACTATTTAGGTGTGTATTATAGAGATACATGCTCTTGCAAGTACTTCAGTCTCTGGGATCTTGTACTGCTATTTGATACTGATAATTTTTTTTTTGGATGCTCTTCATTTAAAAATGATTTAGCATTGAGTTGTCCATGTTTCACATGCATAAATTATCATCAGCTGCCCTGCAAACTTTTGTTTAGTTTTTGATTGTTGTTGTCTCTCCTGGTGCATACATGTTTAGACATTTTGTTAGAATGTTGCGCTTATTTTTTTTAATTCGCAGTTTCCCTTCATCATCAACAGTTACGCTCAGCGGCAGTGCGCTGCAATGGTAAGTGCGGCTGTTCACCACTTCAAGTCTTCTAGCATTGAGTTAAATGTTCGGCTTGATATCAGGTTTTCGAGGAGCTGGTTGGTAAAGTACCTCTGTCTTCTTTGAGTTAAGGGTAAAACAAAAGCTGGTGCCGGTGTTTGAGAAAAGCGCAACACTGCGTTTGATATCGGGTTTTGAATCAGTGTTGAGGATACAATTGTCAGCATACATAATGTCCCTCACGATGTTTGTCAGAAAGTCAATGATGAGGTCTGTCAGAAAGTCCCTGATGATGTCTGTCAGAAAGTCCCTGATGGTGTCTGTCAGAAAGTCCATGATGGTGTCTGTCAGAAAAACCCTGATGATGTCTGTCAGAATGTACATGATAATGTCTGTCAGAAAGTCCCTGATGATGTCGTTCCGCCATTTGGATTTGTCGTTTAGTCAACTTTGGTTAAATAATTTATTATTTTTTTCTGTACATGATGCTGATTACAACGTCTCCTGCTATGAAGGCATCGGATAGAATGACGGTCAACATGATACTCAAAGGGTTGGTCAAGAGCACAGCCTTTTTTTTACCCCATTAGACGCAAGGAATGGTTGAGACGTCCCCCCATTTTCCCGAATCTAGTCTACAAACTATAGTGAAATTGCCACCCCAGAAAAGGCATATACCAATTTGCTTCACCTTTAAGGTGAGAAGGGAGGAGGGGGGGGGGGGCTCTCTTCCAATTCTAAATTGATGGACTGTATTTTTACTAAAAAATGCGTAGATTTTTAGAACTGATACATAGCAGGGTGTAAATTTAACATATTTTTCAGATAACCGAAACTCCACGGTAAACGTTTGCAATAAAAAGGTTAGGGACTAGGGCAAGGGTTCTAAAATCTTTTAAGAAGGGCCCGCATCAGTGTCCTCAGCTACTGTCGGGGGTCACTATCAGAATGTGATCGGGGTCCAAATTAGATCGGGGGTCACACCAGGATGGGGCCCTAATAAAATCCCGGGCCATACCGGGTATATCGGCTAATATATATAAAGAGTTTACTGGCGCTTAAAATAAAATCTCATGTTACTTTGATTACTCGCGCATACTTTCCGTGAATTCAATTAATTAACTGGTTTGTAGACTGCATTACCTCCGTCTGGTAACTACATTTTACCTGTGCGACAGGGGTAGGAATTGCTTTTCGGTATTTTTGCACACATTCCCCGTGCCAAACCCACGCGTACGACATAACAATAATCCTTTTTTTTTTTTTTTTTTAAACAGTCAACGTTTGTATAATGAAAGTTTATTGATGATTTGTGTTCAGTAAATCTGATCTGTTCTACTTTTTTTTTTTTTAAATTAATTCCCAGATTTTTTCGTATACATTTATTGAAATGAATTTTTATAAACACTTAACAGCGAGCTCATCCCACGCGTACGACATAACAATAATCCTTTTTTTTTTTTTTTTAAACAGTCAACGTTTGTATAATGAAAGTTTATTGATGATTTGTGTTCAGTAAATCTGATCTGTTCTACTTTTATTTTTTTTAAATTAATTCCCAGATTATTTCGTATACATTTACTGAAATGAATTTTTATAAACCCTTAACAGCGAGCTCACAATGCCTGGTGGGGAAATATTTTCACTGACGGCAACACGTTCGAGGTCAATATGAATTAAACGCTTTACGAGGTTTTCAGTTGATACCTTATTTGTAAAGCTCTTGAAGTTAGAATAGCTGAAAATGTAGGTAAACCAGTAGCGCAATTCTTTGTCTGTTAAAAGAAATAAATTTTCGAAACCTCCTAGCGATCTGGAAATATATTTAAAGAAATGTCAGGACAGTGATTCCATTTTGCGAAAATGTTGAACAACTGATAATGATTTTTTAAAAATATTTTTATGTTGCGATTGTTCAAAAAAAAAATATTGACTTCATTAATCGTAGACAATTGTTATGGTAATAACACTTAAATGTATATCTTTTTAACCCCTAATAAAAATTGTATTGATACTTATCCAGCAGCTGATTAAAAAAACATTTACTTTACTCCCCAACCACCCCCCACCCCCCAAATTTCTCGTCCCATTTTTATCATTTTCATGTAAGAAATATTTTAATAAATTCACTTGTTACTAAAAGGTCAGGGAGTTACATAAGTGAATAGACAAGTTGGGCCTATATATATATAGTTAAATGGCAGCAGATAGATCTGTCAGAATATAAGTTTGTTAAGTTACAAATCATTAATGCCTGTGCCATATATATATATATATATATATATATATATATAATATATATGGAAGCGTTGCAAGCTAAATACCACAAGTTTAAATGGAAAATGTTGATGTCAAATTACAAATAATTGTAAAAAGGTAATAAAATAAATTCTCTATTTCACACTTTTCATATGTTAAGAAGATGAGTTTAAAAAAGCTGAGAAGGTAATCTGATTAAACATCATACTTTTTTTATTCATTAATGATCAGTTACACAAATTAATCCGGTTGCGTACGGAAATTGAACTACATATCATAACGATTGCGGTAACCGTGGCTGCAGAAATTGTGGCACTGTTCCAGCTGTTTTATCTCGCGTGTCAACTAACCGAAAGTGGAGTAGTAATCTCAGTCCAGACGTCGCACGGCTGGTCAACGAAATCCTGTAGAAATTGGAACATGGTCAGGTTACAGTGGCTCTCGATGTCCTGCTTGGCTACGAAGCAGGCCTGGACCAAATCATTGCATACGTAGTGCACCTCCAGGGTGATGAACGTGAACACATTGGCCATGTCAGTTTCAACGTCGGAGATGCAATGCCGGAACGGCGCGCTGGTGAATGCAAACCACGCCTCGTCCAACAGCCTTCCGCGCCGGCTTCCGGGGCAATCTCTCAGCGATTCGGTGAAGTCCTTCTCGTCGTAGAGGACGCTCAGATAGGACCAGTCGATCATGTTCGTCTGCGCCAGGTATGTCATCGCCTTGATCGGGTCGGAGAGGCCCGTGGCGTTCTGGACGTCGGCGATGGTGAACGTCCCCTGGTCAAGACATAAGGGTTCGAGCGAGGCTTGCCAGCTGCCGAAGGTCGGTTGGTTGGTTGAGTTTATTTCTACGAAGAGACCTGAAATGAAATATTCATTAGTTTAGGTCAATGGCCGTCAATGTATCTTAGTTCTTTGCGTGTTTGGAATTTTTGATATAAAGAAAAAATTGAGTGTTGATGGGGGATAAAATGACCAACTTGTTTTAAGTTTGAGTGATTTTTTATAGCTAATCACATGTGACATTCAATTGGGAGGTTCTCAGTGGAAAAAGTTATGGCAGTGGTTCCCATACTGTTCACCTTGATGCCACCGGGGGCGCGTACCACTAACCGGGCGCCGTGAATATAATGCACATTTTTTTCCTAATTAAGCCTAATTTTCGTTTAGTAATACTCGGAAACTACATCAACAAGACCAGATTCAACCCAATAGTTCAATCACCAACAACGGCTAAAGCTTGCAAAAAAGACACAAATCAGATTCACTCAGCGAGTATGGTATTTTACATTTAGCAGAACAAAAAAAAAAAAACAGTAACTCCTTCAGTATAGATGTGTAAGCGACATCCAGTGGACTATATGCAAATCCTTATTTAGCTAAGTCTCAGTAATAACTGTATGCCGCATATAGCGGTCCTGGTACAATCCAGGTAACTCCATCAGTTATAACTGTGTGCTGCGACTTGATGACAAGAGGTGTGAGCGAGTAATTCACATAGTAATAACTGTTTGGTACTTCTAGTGAACCAGGTGTGAGTCAAATCAGTAATAACTGTATGCGCCATCTAGCGGACCAGGTGTGAGCCAACTCAGTAATAAATGTTAGGTACATCCATCGTACAAGGTGTGAGCCAACTCAGTAGTAGCTGTATGGTACATCTAGCGGACTAGGTGTGTGCAAACTCAGTAGAAGCTGTATGGTACATCCAGCGGACCAGGTGCGAGCCAACTCAGTAATAGCTGTTTGATACATCTAGCGGACTAGGTGTGAGCCAACTCAGTAATAAATGTATGGTACATCAAGCGAACCAGGTGTGAGCCAACTCAGTAATAAATGTTAGGTACATCCATCGTAGAAGGTGTGAGCCAACTCAGTAGTAGCTGTATGGTACATCTAGCGGACCAGGTGAGAGCCAAATGAGTAATAACTGTATGGTACATCCAGCGGACCAGGTGTGAGCCAGTATGTCACGCAGTAATAAACTGTATGCTCATCTCGCGGACCTAATGGAAAGTAGTGACTTACTCAGTTAAAATTCTATGCCCTATAGAAAGGAAAAGATGCAAGCAAGTAAATTACTTGGAAACGACTTTTAGCAGAACCTTTTACAAAGGGACTTAGCCATTGTTCTCCTTAAAACTTAATTCAGCACCTTCTATGTTTAACTGGCTATTAGTCAGGGGAGATAACTCAAAAACATTAAAAATGGACTCTGCCGTTTTTTCCCTTGAGGTCAAGTGACTCTTTTCAAGGAGTCACCTAAAACAATCGGCAAATGCATATCCTCTACAGTTATGACGTACCGACAAAAATAATTTTATTGTTGGGGTCGCCACAACATGAGGAACTGCATTAAAGGATCGAGGCATTAGGAAGGTTGAGAGCTACTGCCATAATGATTTAGATGTAGTATTATTAGAAAACTGAGTTTCATGGTACCTATATTATAATACCTGAGGCAATTTTGACATCAAATTAATGTTTTAAAAAATAAATAAAGTATTATTTTTTTTCAGAATTAGAAACGTTTAGAGGTAAAAAAAAAAAGTGACGTCACAATTTTTGCCCCCCCCCCCCTTCCCCCCCCCCCGTAACAAAGTATCACATATCTCAACCCACCCCCTCTGAGCGTGAAGTAATTTGCCAGTGACCCCTAAATGTAAATATTTACCTATAAAATAGTTTTTAATAAATATTTATCAATGATCAAACCTTGATAAATTACTACAAGGGAAAAAACGGCAGAGTCCATTTTGACGTCACTCTCTACTATAATGAAATAAGTCATGTTACATTCAAGTTTGAATTAATTTATCTATTTAATAACTCAGGGAAATGGACACTCTTGTGAAATGCATTTTAAAAATTACATTTTGTTTACACATTTTTTATGTGCATGGTTTTGAACTTTAAAAATCGAATATCTCAAAACAACAAAAATGTGACCATGCCATTTTTTCCCTTGTGGTCTTCAATGGTAACTCACTTCACTCTTTTGCAGTGTAGTTGTTAGATTTTACATAATGTGAAATGTGGAAAATGAGGATTCGAAAGGGGGGTGAGATTAAAAAAAAAATTGGGAACCACTGATTCATGACACCATAAGTGTGTTCTTTAAACTTTTCCACCAAGACTGGTTTCGATTGATATCAATTTTAATTACAGCTCTTTCAGCCGAACAGTCTTTTCACAGGGTTGTGCCACAGTAATCTTCCTCCTTAAAGAGCTGACGTGTGAATTTTGGAGGCCCACTGTCACTCTTCGCGTTTTCGCCCTTGCATGAAAGCTATTCCGTGTTTGTCATTTATACAACACAGCATAAACGTTAAGCAATTTCAAGTATGCAATGCTCATCTCAAAGAGGTAGAGGAACAACTGCGCCCTTTGCTATTTGTAAGAGCTTCGATCTATTAAATGTATTCAAGCTCAGCACCTATTTCACGTTGGATGTTAATATCATTGATAAACAAAACAAAATTAGCTACTGTGACAAAATTGATGAACTTTGATACGTGCTCTCTCTCCACTTGTAGCTCTGACAGGTATTGACATGTTGATGCGTGTGTGGCTGTCCATAAAGGTTGTCAAGCTTTGAACGGTTTTTTGTTTTTTTTTTAATTTAAACATTTTAAATTATTTTTATTTTTTTATTATTTCGTTTAGTTCCAAATAAAAGTCACCAATAGTATGTTCCCATCGTCATTATTCTTCACAGATCTCGTATTCCCACCCCACCTCACCCTGCTCTCGTCCTGCATTCAAAGTCTATAAACAAAGCATTTAAAACATTAAAAGGCAATACAAAGGTAATAATAAAAAAAAAACTCCAACATTAAACTAATGAGATCGTAACATGGCCATCGTCGGTCAGAATTCATCGCTCAGAGAAGAAAGTTAAACACCACACCACTGTTCATTTCTGGTTCTTTATGTATGAGTAATATTAAAATGTTTGACGGCACATATTGTCTTTGGGTGTGATAATTTTAAAGATGAGCATTCCTCTGGCGTCAAGTTTAGATCTTATCTTGATATTGGTTATGAACCTGAAATACGCGTAGATGTGTATCATGCAGCTGTGGCTATTGATAGGGAAACTGTTGCAATTGAATTGGAAACTTGGATTAGTGACGTTGATATTGGCCATAAACCTGATGCTTCTGGTCATGAAACTGGTGAGATGGATTATAAAACTGGCCTAATTGACGTCAACTGTGGTTATAAACTGGGCCTTTTCATGATGGATGTAAAATTGTATAATTGTTGATAGTTTAACTCCTGATTTTGGTTAAAATACTGTATTAAAATAATACACCAGGGCTAGAGATAACATACGCACGGATGTCAAAATGTAAATCACCTCCCGCTTTACCTTAGGTGAGGTGATATGTGGAGTCTATCATTGTTTCCGTGGCCACAGCGAAAAAGACACAACTGTAGATACTGTTCTATTCGCCATAAACTATTCAATTTATTTACGTTTGTGTCGGTACGTGTAAACTGTAGACACGTCATCAATACTATTAAAAGACAAGCGTTGACTCGCCAAGAGTTGACTCGCGATCAAAGTGGTCCGTGAAGCCATTAAGGGTGGGCCACGACCGAGTTAAAGAGTACAAAGCAATGATTAATTTAATCATTTACACCAATTGCAGGCCATTTTTTTTTATTTCTGGCTTAGTTTCATCCGGCAACAATGCCTTGGGCTTTGCGTTAAAATACTAAGTAATTCAAAGTAAAAATAAAGCATGAAAATCTGTTACTTAGATAAGTCTGGATCTAAACACAACTTCTATTTAAATTTTTAAAGGATCACATTTTATGTTAATATTTTAGAAAGGCTGCATGTTTAAATGTCACACTATCGAAGGCTGCGTATTTCGTGTCTCTTTTTTTTAACTTTAACCACAATGTCCTTTTTCAAAAATTGTGTTGTTCTTTTTTGAGCACCAGGAGTTTTTTTAACTTAAGGTTGTTGGTTTTTTTTTGCGTCTGTTGAGTATCTGAACTGTGTCCACCTGCTCAGCACGGTCAGCTGTTTCCCTGTGTAGGCTTAGCTGTGGTCCTCATCTATTTCAACCTGCGTAAGACAAACTTTCAATCTAGTTGACCGCGTCAGTCAGTGCAGTTTCTTCTTACCTGGCGTGTAAGATGAATTTCGCCCCGTGTAAGGTCGAAGGCCTACGGTAATACCGCAACATCCGATGTCCACGAAGACGAACAAGGACGCTTGGGGCTGCAGCTGAATGCTACACGAGCCGAAGAGAAGGGTAACTCCATCTACCAGAGTTGTGGTTCCTTGGTCCACCGTGAAGTACCTCCAAGTAATCGACCCTGAGAATGGAAAAAGTGCGACTAATGCGTTTAACTTGCTTTATTTTGCTGTGAAAGTTTTGTATAAATAAATAATAACCTTGTAAGTTTTACTAGAAATATACAATTAAGTTAATTAAAATTAGTGATTTAGCACAATAATTTGTTTTGTTTTTTTTTAAATTAGACTGATATGTCTAGTGTAATGTGTATAAAATCGGATGATTAAATATAATTTTTCCATTTAAAAAAAAGTAAGCTGGCTAATTGCACCAAAGGTCAAATAATATTTGCTAATTTAGTTGCTATAGTCTTACTTGTCTGCTACATTAGTAGCAATAGACATATCAGTCTGCTACGTTAGTAGCATTAGGCCACTGAACTGCTACGTAAGTAGCAACAGAAGTACCAGTCCTACAAGATATTTATCAGTAGCTGTGGTAAGTTTTCAATATTAAGATTTATATTATTTGATGGATTCAAGTAACTATACGTTCGATTTGATTGCAACGTACACATTGAGTTTTTATGACACTCGTGATACAAAATTATCTGAATGTTCGCATGGTATCATATAGAAGCAGGCTGTGTGTAAGTGAAAGTTCAAAACTCTGACCAGGCTACTCACCATTTTGTTCCCTGCTGGACTCCAACCTCAGCATAAATGTGACGTTAAACGATGGGAACATAATATTGGGAACTTTCATATTGAACTAAACGGAATAAAAAAAAAATAATTTTAAATAATTTTAAGAAAAACAACAACACAGAAAATCTTTGACAATAGAATTGTAGCATTGCATCTCATATTAAAGAATGAATAGAATTCTATACTATAGTTAGAGTGTTTACTCTTACCTTCCACATAATCGGTTGTGTTTCTAGGGCATTTAAAAATAAAGGATTTTTTTTTTATACGTATTGGTATGTTCCGAGACGTTGATGAATTGAAACGCAAGGTGGATGGCAATCTGTGCAACAAGGACCCTGTACGTTACCCCATGGGTGCCCGCAGAGGGGGGGGGGGCAAGGGGGCACTTGCCCCCCTGGATTGATTGGATAAACAAATTTTAGACAAACATAGACAACAAATGTATTACAGTATAGAGAAAATAAAGAGAAAGTAACTAAACTGATGTCCTGTCCATTCGTTCACCATACAAATACGCTACAGTAAATTAAAACTATATTAAAACATTACTAAAAAATTTGTGTCCCCCCTTAGAAAGTTAATCGATTTTGTTTGCCCCCCCCCCCAGGAAGTTTTCTGCGGGCAACCATGGTTCCCCGCCCCCCCCCCTTTTTTTTAAAAATTTTTGTCCCCCCTTAGAAAGTTAATCGTTTTTGTTTGCCCCCCCCCCCAGGAAGTTTTCTGCGGGCAACCATGGTTCCCCGCCCCCCCCCCCTTTTTTTCACAAAAACGGATAAAGCAATCAATGAGAACAAACAGCCTCTAGATAAATACTTAATCAAAGTGGTAGTTATTTTGTTACATTTTTTTGGCACGTATTGTTCTATTATTTGGGTGGCAAAAATGTTTAAATCTATTTATTTGATATATTTATTTTACATCCATTACATCGTCTCATTTTGACATCTAGACCATTTCCCATTGCGACATATATACCATAGTCAAATTGTTATGTCTGCAAAATCATTACATTGTGAGTCTACACCATCATTACATTGTGACGTGTACAGCATCATTACATTGTGACGTGTACATCGTCATTACAGTGTGACGTGAACAACATCATTACATTGTGACGTGAACACCATCATTACATTGTGACGTGTACAGCATCATTACATTGTGACGTGTACAGCATCATTACATTGTGACGTGAACACCATCCTTACATTGTGACGTGTACTTCATCATTACATTGTGACGTGCACCTCATAATTACATTGTCATGTGTACATCATAATTACATTGTGACGCCGACGCCATCATTACATTGTGACGAGTACAGCATCATTACTTGTAACGCTTACAACATCATTAAATTGTGATGTGTACAGCAATCATTACATTGTGACACCTACGCCATCATGACATTGTGACGCCTACACCATCATGACATTGTGACGTGTACAGCACCATTACATTGTGACGTGTACAGCATCATTACATTGTCACGTGTACAGCATCATTACATTGTCACGTGTACAGCATCATTACATTGTGACGTGTACAGCATCATTACATTGTGACGCATATGCCATCATTACATTGTGACGCCTACACCATCATTACAATGTGACGTGTACAGCATCATTACATTAGACGCGAACACCATCATTACATTGTAACGCCTACACCATCATTACATTGTGACGCCTACACCATCATGACATTGTGACGCCTACACCATCATGATATTGTGACGTGTACACCATTATTACATTGTGATGTGTACACCAACATTACATTGTGACGCCTACACCATCGCCACACTGTTACCGACGGATGCCAGAGAAAAAAACGAGGAACATGAAAACCCCTCTCTAAGTTTCTCCGTTATGAAAACGCCAAAATGATTTCTTATATTAGCGCCCGAATATTAAGCCAGGGTATATTAAAAAATTTAATTTAAAAAAAAAAATTCTTACAAAACTATAACAAAGCCACTAGAACTGTTCCATCTTCAGTACTTTCATATCTCACTAGACACAAGAAATTTGATTTAAAATGTTTAAATACAAAAATTCACCAAACTACCTGTCACAGAACTGTTGTTACGGAGTAGGGATCGGATCCTGGCTTATCACAAACTATGCATTGACGTAGAAGTTTTCAGTACAGGCCCTCTCTTCTCTGCGATTTATATTGTGGGTGTCTAAGCGACGGGACAGACAAAGCACAACGACTTGAACAGGAAAGAAAACTAACAACGCCAACTCCAGGTGTCCAGATGATAAGAGAATGTATTTATTTCTAAATAAAGTTCTTCTATTGGTGCCGCTAACTGTCAACTGTCTACCTCTATAGCTATTTCTTTATGAACTGTTTCGTCTAAAATATTATTATGTTCATTTAGTCAACTTGCGACTATTCCCTAGCAACCGCTAAATTCTATCGTATCTCTTTTCCCTCTTCCTCAACTAACCCTTATCTTGAACAGTTGTGTCTTATATAAGATTCTCTACCTCCATAGGTCGCCCAAGATTGGTCTCAATTAACACATCCCTGCCCCTAATTTCCAGGCAATTAGAATTTCCCCTTCGTTAACCCAAAAATTATCATGGCAAGTCATGGAAAGAACCATCCCCTCTATCTCCGAGCTGCGACAATCTATTAACCTTACTTGACACCCTCTTATAAATGGCGTCGCTAAACTAAAATAACAGCAACTTCCGCCCATCCTGTAAGGTACATTAACCACAATGGAGCTCTGTCCTGTACCCCCGCCCCAGTCATTTGTGACACTACCTAACTTCTTTCTTTAAAAAAAAAAATGTTTTTTAATCAATCAAATCGCAATTCGCTAGCGTTCTGTAAAACCAACATTAAGGACACGAACTGTCACGTTATCTTGTGAGGTTTCGCAGTAGTAATCGTTGTCCTAATAGTTTTAAGTAGAAGGTGCGTATAAAAAAAATCATGATCAAATACCTCAAAGCTTTGGACGTAAAGTTGTTCTCCTAGTCTCTCCATCAATGCGAACAGGGCGAAGTCACAGAACTGACCAGTGTCAGATGGCGTGGTGGTCACTTGGACAAATTTGGTGGCGCCCAGCACGTAAACAGGGAGTTGAGCTTGGGAAAAAGTGGTCAAGATTGGGTCATTGGTCAGCCTGTAGGGAAACATTACATTTAATTAAATGTCGTTATGTCAATGTGCAAGTCAGGCTTTATTGTAGGTTCCTTTATATGGAGCCTAATATAAACGTGTTCAATAGGAATACAAACTTTTTGTAGGACTGATGTCTTACGTAGATCTGGGTAATGATAGAAAACAGGAACTGAAAAAATGTAAGCTTGTTAGATAGAAAGAATGCAGTCAACACGTTGAACCGAAGTGAGTACTGCATAATGAAGGACCGAATACTTACACGGATCACATCTAAAGCAAGTAAGCCCACTTGTCAGACTGCATACTTAATATAGAACCGAATGCACTTAACACTCCGTCCAGCAATAATTAATCCTATAATTATTAACTGACTTGTCTTGAACTTCAATAGATTCAATATTTCTATAATTAGAATGCTCTTAAATGTCGGCATCCTACAATTTATTTAAAAACGGTTAGTCATTCCTAAGACCAGGAAACGTTACATTGAATGACGTAATGTTAATTTTTTTTTTTAGAAACGTATTTCCTAAAGCATTTCTGCTAACAATGTATTTAACATATATATATATATATATATATATATAAAATTAACACTTTTTTGTGGGTAAAATATTTCGTTAAAAAATTTCTTGCCTAGGTTGATAAAAACTATGCTGACTCACATTGACACATAAGTATCGAACAGCTGTTGAGAGATTTGCCAATTGGAATACGTGAATGTTAATTAATATATTTCCGCCATTAAATGACAAAACCTATTCTAAAAAAACTATCTACGAAGACAGTAAAAGGAAGGTTTTTTTTTTTTTGCATGGCATTTTGTGTGCTCTTCAAACTAACCAGAAATAAAACCAATACGTTGACAAGACTTACGAACAGAAGAGATTGCTGACGAGGTGGCAATGGAAGTACGGGTTGCCAGTGTAGTTTCCCTGGCACACGCAGCCTTCGTTGACGCAATTGGTGTTGGCGACACACTCGGTGCACGGGCTCACAACGTCTGACGCCTCACTGACCTGGAACTAAATCAGATATGATATTTTTTTAGAGCATTTTTGTGTTGGAAGTTATATTTTCAGATTTCAAAGACCAAAAAGAAAATAAAATCAAAAATAAAAATTGAATAATTCACACAATACATACATATATATATATATAAACAAAACATCAGCAACACAATGTTTACAAGCCCTTTAAAATGCTGAGGTTGCAAAATGCAACTAAAAAAAAAAAAAAGTAAGGTGATATTCAAGGAGAAAACTGTATCGTATTCTGGTGTGTTGCTGAAAATACGTTTTAATGTGGCATTTGAAATTACGTTGTTTTCTGCAGATGGCGTGTTATTAGTTTACATTTCAGAGCTGCAAGTTTACTGTGTCATAAGATTTTACTGACGTGTGACTTATCTACTTTTGGCTTAGCGTTGTATTTTATAACAAAAAAGTCTTGATTATATTTTAAAAAAAAACAAAAAAAAAAAACATTCTCATTGATGAATTATATTGTTTACATCTGTAAGAGCGTGTCATTTGTGACAATAGATAAGTTGACCTACCTGGAGACAGGCAAAGATCACGCACGTCACGACCTGTATGAAAACAGCCCTGCTCATGGCGCCCTGCTGTCTTGCCTGAAAATAAATATATGAACGCAACACCTAAATCCAAATATTTTCATGTTTCATTAAACATCTGATAACGAATTTGAGTTCTAGTGAAGGGGTAAAACAGCTACATAGATCTTCAGTAATTTGTATTATGGTGTGAAGAAATTTAGACATATCTTTCATTAATTAATTTACGGCGGGAAAGCAATTATGATATCACCAACCCCACAGCGCAAGGAAAAGTTATTATGATGATATTTCTCCCTTTAGAGCCAGGTCCACTTTGAAGAGGCCTCCCATTAACGCCAGGTGTTGTCCAGTCGTTGCGAGGACTCTTCAAGTAATTTATCATTTGACGCCTTCTTATCAAAGAATACGTTATTAAAATAATGAAAAGGAGACACCGTTAGATATCTTTTTTAGCCTACATGGTTTCTTTTCAACGTCACCTTGTGAAGATATACGTGAAGCGAGCACATCAAATGCGTTTCATGTATCGTAAACTCAGCCTCGGCTAAACACGACTTTGAACACATCTCGGGGGTTCAACTTGGCAGATGAAAGCGCTGTGTTAATACATCAAAAGTGCTATTGACTTTTGGATGCGTCAGTCAATTTCTGAATTGGAAATTCAAGTGTGTTGTTTTAATGATCAGAATTTGACTGACACACATGTCTTGTTCGTATAGATAGTTTTATGGATACGCATGTCTTGCCGGTCTAGATATCTTATAAATACAAATTGCATGGTGTTTAAAATGTCATATTTTAACACATGTCTTAGCATTAAAAGTACCGTATTGATACACTGGTCTTATTGTTAATAATATGATATTGAAAAAATAACAGATGAACAGAAAAAAAATGTTTCTTGATATAAATATCTTATTAATTCAATTATAATATTACTACATTTATTAGAATGATGCAGATTAATTGGAAAGACACATGTTAATTATTTTTTTCTTCTTATTTATTTAATTGTATTATTGCATTATGTGCCCATTTCATACAATCGTCTTAGTAATAAAGTTTTGAAAATGATTTGACGTGTTTTTCTTGATCAGTCTTCAATAGTTTATTCCACCATAAAAAGCATGTCATGGATGGTTGCCTTATTCTTGTGCTTTTTTTTCGATATATATTTTTCTATTCATTTCAGTATTCTCATCCAAATTGAAGGCCTTTTTTTCTTTCTTTTTTTTCTTTCTCAAAATGTAGTCAAACTGCACTAGGTTAATGAATTGGTCTTGATATAACAATAGAATCGTCCCATGTATAGAAAGATGGAGATAGACCCACCCGGGTGTATTTGAAACACAAAATTGTTAGTTCAGTATTGTTGGAGGTAGAGTGTAGCATAAGGGGGAGGGGGGGGGGGTCGTAGAAGGCGGCGTTTAGTTGTCGATCAATCAATCTGTATCTCCTCAACGCGTGTGTCTTTGCGCGGTGGCGGTGTCGGACACGCTGTGAACCGATGCTCGAACGTGATTCACACAGTTTATGTGTCCACATTACGTGAAATGATTATACGAGAAACCTTGTATTTTTGTGTTTGTTTTATCTTATTGCTCCACTGCTTTTAAAAGCCATCAGTTTTTCGTGGTAATGTTGCAGTCTTTGTTCTTGATTAAAAAAAACTTCTGTCGTTTGAAACTTTAAGGCGAAAGTGAATGAAGGGATGCTGTGGAGTTAGTTAGAAGATATTGCCTAACGAGAAGAACAACATAACATAAACATAAGATGAGCAGACTTACTGACAGTATAGATTGTTCACATGATGGAAGTGTGGACTTCCGGGTTGCCTGTGTAGTTTGTTAGACACACACAATTTCCGATCACACATTTGGCGTTGACCCCACAACTGTCATATGGGTCTGACAGGACGTTGACCTGACAGGACGCAAATAAAAGTATCAGAATTTACGAAATTGTGATTTAAAAATATTCTTAGCGAGCTACGGCAGTGTGCAAGCGAGCCCTCAGATATTATTTCAATCAGATGATACAATAAATAGAAAAGTAACCAGCAATGAAGTAATGCCTTAGAACAGAGCTCTGCATCCGATGTGCCTATATGCGCTGTTAGGTTTGCCGCAGCATTAGGTCTCAGCGAGACAGACATATTTTAAATTCGAAATTTAACTTAGTTGCTAGAATTAGATGGTCAACGTTTTGTCTTTAGGTGGGATTTTGGAATTTATTTTCTGAAAATGATTAAATTATTTATTAATATTTCAATAAATTTATAAAGAGTTTTCGTTGCAGATGTAAAGTTCTAGCATGGTTTTAAAAAGAGGTCTAATATGAAGGCAGAATTTGTCTGATTGATCTAAAAATCTCCGACAAACAACTATTCGAAGAAATAATGGTAACACGGTTGTACATTTATGATTTAATTCGTTTTAAATAAAGAAAAATTCGGTAAAGTATTTCTATCGTGCTTTAAAACAAATTAAAGTGGTAGGAAAAAAATCAACTTCATGCAATCAAAGTTCTTAAGACAAATACCAAAAAAACAAACATTGGCCCTAGGACTCAAGTGAGTATGTGAGTATTTTGTACTGTTCTTAGCACAATTGTGCAATGCGTGATAATACGAACGGGGTCCAAAACAATTTTTTTGAAACATCTGCTTAAAACTAGCATTGCCAATTTGAATTTAAGTTTTAAAGGAATGATGTACGCTTGGAAGTAAGAAAAGTCAACACAAAGAAATTCACCTTAGCCATAGGCGCAAATGAAAAAGCCGTGTGAAGGAACTAATAGAGCAAGGCATGTGGAAGATTTAATCTTAAGAAGGGACAGTAAGATACGAACATTTCGGCTAAGTGCCTTCCTCAGCAGACAGGACACAAGGAAAATAAGACAAGAAAAATAGTTAACAACTCTCTATCTCTGTGTATGTCTGTCAACATCTACATTGGTATAACCTTTCTTTGTTGGCATCCTCCCGTCACAATGTGACGATGGTGCAGGATGAAATCCACAAGGCCTAAGATTATTCTTTTTATGATTATAAGCTGGTTCCCACACAGAAGATCGCCTCTCTCCAGGCCGCAGGATAACCAAAGGAAACACCATGTGGATGATACAGCTTTGCACCAGTGACCTCGTAGGAGTGGTCGGAATGTTTCATTGTACCAATAACAGCTGCCTACGGGGCTCCGTCTTCGGGTGTGAATTAAGAGTGTGTCTTCTCTTAGATGAGTTGCCAAACAAGGCCAATGAGTCCTAACTACCCGGTGTGCTGGGGTTGATTTTGCTTGACTGGGCTTTGTGGGAATTGAAATCCAGAACGTGTCATTGACTCAGTTTGGACCACTCGTCCCCCAGCACCCATACACATATTATAATTGACAACATATAAATTGACAGAATAACACATCTTTGACAGAAATCTGCTTTGGCATAACACACCATCGACTACATCTACATTGGCATACCATATCAATTTTAGACTATGCATTGGCATAACGTACCAATGTTAGAATATACATTGGCATAACATATCTATGTTAGAATATACATTGGCATCACATAGTATTGTCAGAATAAACATTGGCATAACATATCAATATCAGAATATACATAAGCAAACATATCTATGTCAATATATACATTCGTATAACATATCATGGACACATCTACATTGGCATGCCAAATCTTTGACAATATTTACTTTAGCATAACTTATCATTGACAAAATGTACATCGGATTATGATGTACTTTAGCCACATGTACATTGGAATAAAATATCATTTAAAAAAAGTAACTCTTTTAAATTAAAATAAAATTCTGCATAGTGTAGCGAATGTTTTGACCTACCTGGACACTGGCTAACATCAAGTAAGCGAATGGGATGTTAATAATGTCATTCTTCATTGCGTCTTGCGCTAAATTTACAAGATGAACATGTCGTTATGAGTCCGGCTGAAGAATTCTTTTACTTCTGCATGGAGGTACTTAGGAAATACTATTTTAGTTTTGCGTTGTGAAAACAAAGACAACGTAAAGAGGATTGTCCAGGTTTAAATAATCGGCCGTATATTACACTTCCTTGTGTTCAGTTGACCAGGGAGTTTATCAAACGCTATTTGATGAGTTATCAGCCCTTTAAGGGAAACTTGCTTTCGAGTTACCTCCCATTATTGCCAACATCAAACGACCATGTAACACCATCAAAAAGAACTAGTCTCTAACGCGGGGCTCATTTGTGTAATGTTTAAAGTAGCTATTCATTATAATAGGCTCTGTATCGCACTCACCAATAATGTTGCACTGTGACATAAAGAGATCAAGTGAGATCACATATATAGAGCAAAGCTTTGTCGCTTGACATGCTAAATAAGTGGGGTGAGAATCACATAAAAAAAAATGAGTATTTCATCCACTTAGAGGCCCTTACAACGTATCCAAAATATAAGAAAATAAGTAATCGGTGAATATATTATTATTTTTTTTTTTGACGTCGCGTTTAGCCCGCAAGATATAGCTTGCTAGAGATATTTGTAAAAAAATCTACACACATGCAAAAATCTATACACATGCAAAAATCTACACACATGCAAAAATCTACACACATGCAAAAATCTACACACATGCAAAATTAGCGTAAGTATGCAATTCTATAACGTCAAGAGTATTTCATTTATTGAATTAATCGTCTGGCAATCTGGATGTTACCACTTGCCCGTAAGTAATTCAACAAAAGAAATGGGAATGCGTGTACCTGTATAAAGACTCTCGTAGCATTTAAAGCAGCTGTAAAACTAAACCTACTTTACTTGGCCATGTGACCACATATGGCGATGTCCTTTCCACGAGGGTTTAGGAGACCGGGGTCCATACACGTACATTTGATTTGGGATATGCTGTGGCCTGTGTATTGACCCATTTAAAAAAAAAAATATTAATTGGGAGCTGTTTCGTCGTCAACTTCTCTCTCCCCGACCCCACTGTGTTTTCTTATTGACGTGACATATTACATGTATAGCGGTCTACCTCTAAACACATCTTCCTTAATTGAACATATCTTTTTTCCCCGCATATATTCCAAATTTAGAGGCTTGGGGTGACCTCCTTTAAATGAGTTTCTAGCGTTCTTTTCTGTAGATTTTTAACTGACGGAAAAGTTGTTGTTTTTTAAAATAATGTTCCTGGTCATAAGACGTATTAAGACGCTACGAAACATAATAAGAGATTTAGAAGATTTCGAAATTTGTGTACGCAAATACACATGTATTCAATGTAATCATTATTGTACTGATCTTTGTTATATTTGTTTAACGGTTTTTCCTTCGTTACTTATCATTAATGTATGCAGATATCCGTCCAGTGTTGGAGTAGTGGCTTAGTGCCACGGAAAACATGGGGCAGGCCCGATGGATTACATCACAACTTTTATTCACAGAAATCACAATTTATAATCAGAAATACATCTCTAAATTGGAGAAAAAGAATTGTCAAGATCTTAAACACTTCAAATATATTGTAATCCACTCAGATAATAAGATAGCTATGCCGATGCTATACGATACTTGAAACATTGCGAGAGGAAAACTTTCCTAATCCTACTGCAATTTTTAATAATCTATTCTCTCCCCTTCTGCGCATGACATTCCAAAGTTTAAACTTTATGTTAATATTAAAATACGAAACAATTATAGCCATACTTGAGCTGTTCCAATTATATGTCATATTTATGTAACATCATTATGTTTTACCTTTATGCGTCATCATTGTCAGTCTCAATCTCAAGACCGTACGCTGAGTTCCTTTAGCCATTAAATGTTCACATTTGGGCAGTGTTTCCAAAATTTTTTGTTTGAACCCATAATTAAATGGTCACAATTTGGCAGTGTTTCTAAAACAATTTTGTCTAAACCTAACATTCAGTGGTCACATATGTGCCGTTGGTCCCAAACATTTTTTTCTCAACCCACGCCTATAAGGAACGTATTAACAATTATTATCGCCCTAACCTAATCTTACCGGAAGTTTTGAAAGGATATATTTATGCTCATGTCGGGAAAAAAAAATTAACCTTTCTGCCTTTTTATGACATAATCTTTAACGATGTTTAAGATATCTTGAAATTATTGATATATAATTGTTTGAAAATAAATGTTACAAAAAGTTCAGTAGTTAGTTTAAAAATAATTGTTAACTCTTTAGCCCCCCTCCCCCACAAACCCATTTTTTTTTTTAAAAATTAATTTTTTTTTTTTTGTTAACCCTAAATGCCCCCCCCCCCCCCACACTTTTTTTTGTGTGTTCCAACTCACAAAATAATTAAGAAGCCTTGAAAATGTGTACTTGTTAGTCTGAGGGCCCACTTTGGGAGACACTTCTCTTAAGCTCAACACTAGTTTTTAATATCTCCAACATTGCAACACTTCGTGTCAGGCACCTGCTAACTGAACTACCTTGTGTCTGTACCTCAAATGCTACAGGTGAATAGGAATGCGCGCGGATTAAGATGCGATCAGCCTAGGCGCATCATTTTTCTTGACCTCCAAGGATGAAATTTTCTGCAAAACGTATAGTTTTTGTTCCCCTTGTCAAATGGCCGTAACAAGCTTGATTCGCCCTGACGGACACTAACCCTGGGTACGCCAGTAAAATCAGCATCAGTAACAAACGACAGTGACGAGGCCATGACAGGCAATTCAGGCTCATACAAGCAAGAAGCCAGTATAGGAGCTGCTCATTCCTGCCCAAGACAATCAGGGAATGGAACAATATTTCAAAAGGAACGGTTGAGGCGACAACACTAGACACATTTGTGTCTATTGCCTCAAGCCTTCAAACCCCTAGTGCATGATTTCCTCATCAACACCAGTAACAGAAACATTGCAAATCCCATCTACATGCATAGGAGCCAAAATGATCAATAAATTGATCGTGGGCCCTTAAGATATAGAATAAGAAGAAGAAATACGTCAATTACCCAGAGAGACTTTTTGGTAAACGCAGTTACAATTTTGAAAATTTCCGTTGTTTTTTTGTTTTTTTTAAAGATAGAGAAAGACATTAGATAATCATCTTTTAAAGCGAAACGGCCAATATCTGCTATTGTTGTATCTCGTGTTGCTTTAAGATTGTGTGATTGTAATGAGGACATGTCAACATCGTTGCGTACTCATTCTAATAAGCTATTATAACACAGATGCATGCCCCAAGGTCACATGAGTCAGTGTAACTGCATAGATGCATTTATTTTTTGCTTTCTCAGTACTGTTTTAACCAGCATACATCTACTAAAAATAACTCCGTGATAATGTGTTTTAGTTTGTACGTTACGAACATTGTGATTTAGAATGGGTGAAAGTCATTTTTATATATTTTTAATGAGGGGACGAATCTGGCTAACACCGTATTTAAAGTATTCTAAAACTAGGGGGAACAACCTAGACTACTTTGACATTATCATTCCCCACACCATATTAATTTTATTACTACTTTGCTTTTTAAGATTATTAGTTGTTGTTTTTTTGTTGTTGTAAATCTAGTTGTCAACATTTGACACATTTAAATTTTGTAAGGATTGATGTGCAAGTTTTACTATCCGTTAAAAGCTATTTCTTTGACTAAATCAGCTAATTATGAGGACTGAAACTTGTTTAAGCGTAAGATTTGATTGCTAATATCTTCTTCCTAAAAGTGATGCTTTATAATATAAGATGGCTGATTTTTTAATTTAATTTTATTTATGTTTGTGCTTTAAATGTCATACGTTTGCATACCTCTTCTAGTTTCAAAATTGTTTTCTCAAGCAGAATGTTTATCAATATTCTGCAAGTAAAGATGGACCATAACAGATCGTAAAACTTTTTCATTACATTATACAATCCTTTTTTATATTAATCGTATATTCTCTTACCGTGCGGTCGTATCTCAACATCTTATTTCAAAACATTATCATATTATCTATTATCATATCACTTTATCCTTTTTCAACTAATTGTATCATCTTATCCAACCATTTAAATGTATATTTTTTTTTTTTTTTTTTTTTTTTTTTTTTTTCATAGCGTATACGTCATTTACTTTTTTTCTAACAATACCCGGTTTCAATATTGCCTGATTGCCGTAGTGCAAGAAATAACATCGCCTTTAGCTGCTAGACTCAGGGTTATTTCCCTGAGGCCCGATTCCAAGGACTCCGCCTAGTACCCATCTGGAAGAACAAGTCGTTAGTCATTTTGCCACACCACTCTAAACCAAATCAAGAAAAAAAGTTCCGTCTAGTGCGGACTACCCCTTCCTCCTTCTTCCTACGCCACAGCCCTGTGTGTTTATTTCGATGCGGTATGTCTGATAAGCTTAAAATTGTTACTTTTCGGATTTATTACGAATATATATTCCCAAAACACGTATTATTTTAGGTTTTTTTTTCTTTTCTAAATAATTATTATGTCGCAGCAAATAGTTTCTGTGTGGTTTAGATTGTATCAGAAAACGTCTATTGATAACCACTTTAAATTGAAGTGATGTGTGTTCACGTGTTACGTGTATCTCATTTTGTTCATGAAAATTATTTTCTTTTTATAATTTTACATATTTGTTATGAGTAAGAAAAAACTTTCAAGTTATCTTTTTTTTTTAAATTAAATGGGACCTAATTGAAAAATGAAGAATTAATCTCACAGATCTGGTTTACATGACCTATGAGACAACTGTGGCTTGCAGGATTAATCTCACATATCTGGTTTACATGGCCTATGAGACAACTGTGGCTTGCAGGATTAATCTCACAAATCTGGTTTTTACATGGCCTATGAGACAACTGTGGCTTGCAGGATTAATCTCACAAATCTGGTTTACATGGCCTATGAGACAACTGTGGCTTGCAGGATTAATCTCACAGATCTGCTTTACATGGCCTATGAGACATATGTTGCTTGCAGGATTAATATGGCAGATGTGGTTTACAGGGTGTATGAGAAAACTGAGGCTTTCAGGATTAATTTGACATATGTGGTTTACATGGCCTATGAGACAAGTGTGGCTTGCAGGATTAATCTGACAGATGAGTTTTACAGGGTGCATGAGAAAACTGTGGCTTGCAGGATTAATCTGACAGATGTGGATTACAGGGTTAATGCAATACGTGTTGTTTACAGGTTCAACATGACAACTGCGGTTTACATGGTCGATAAAGCAACATTTGTTCACTATACTGCTAAATAGGCTCCTGATATTTACATCAGGTTTGGTCGTTGAAGCTATCAGTACACAGTTAGAAGATAAAATATACATGATTAAACAAGCTGATGGGAGGAAACTGTCTTTGTTGAAACACGAGAATGGGCAGTAACCTTGATGAAACCAAACAATATTCACACAAAAAAAAAACACAAAATAAACACCACAACACAAAAACACACACACATAAACAGACAGAAACACACACAAGAACAGTACCAAGAATAATAAACCAAGCTAATAATTTATTTCCCAATAATTATGTTCTGTAACATTGTGATGTATTTCTGTTAATGTAATGGATGAGGTAAACGAAAAAATAACGGGAAAAAACAACAAAAAACTTCAATTTTCTATTTTAAAGTCATCATTAGCAAACAATGACAGCATTATAAAATAAAATTTTGGAAATCATATCTGTGTGCGTTCATAAGGGTTGAGTTCCTTAGGTGATTCTTTCATTTGAGTGCGTTCATTAGCATGCGTCAGTCTATTCGCAATCCCTGTCTATGTATGCCTGGAGGAACGGGTGATTTGCTACGTCACACGCGCCTAGTATCATAGCAATGGCTTTCTCGCAACCCTCATAGGTATGATTGCATCTGTAGCTCATCAGATTGATGAGGAAGCGGTACAGCTTGTTGTTCGTTCCGGTGTTCCCATTGATGCAGTTGATGAATGGCGCATTCGTGAAGGCCAACCAAGCTGAATCCAACAGCTCACCCCGCACAATAGGTTTGCACGACCTTAGGTAAACATACAGAGTGCGGTCATCGGAGAGACTGTTCAGGTAGTCCCAGCCGGCCATGTTTATGTTTGCATGGTACGTCATCGCCTTGACCGGGTCAGGGAGTCTCTGGGCGGTCTGGATGTTCGCGAAGGTAAACGACCCCTGGTCAAGACACAGGGGCTCATTCGTCGATTGCCAGTTGTTGAATGTGGGGTTGCTGTCCGTGTCGATTTTTACAAAGATACCTGAAACAGATATAGTGGTCGTTTCAAATGTTAACCTATGCCAAGGTGATAACCTATCCCAATGTGATAACCTATCCCAATGTAATAATCTACGCCAATGTGATAATCTATCCCAATGTGATAACCTATCCCAATGTGATGATATATCCCAATGTGATAATCTATCCCAATATGATAACCTATGCCAAAGTGATAACCTATCCCAATGTGATAACCTATCCCAATGTGAAAACCTATCCCAATGTGATAATCTATCCCATGTGATAACCTATCCCAATGTGATAATCTTTAAACATGTGATAATCTATGCCAAAGTGATAATCTATCACAATCTGATAACCTATCCTAAGGTGATAATCTATGCCAATGTGATAATTTATCCCAATATGATAACTTATGCCAATATGTTAACCTATCCAATGTGATAACCTATCCCAACGTGATGACCTATCCCAATGGGATAACCTATGCTAATATGATTACCTATCCAAATGTGATAACATATGCCAACGTGATAACATATCCCAATGAGATAACCTATCCCAATGTGATTATCTATCCCAATGTGATAACCTATGCTAATGTGATAAAATATCCCAATGAGATAACCTATCCCAATGTGATTATCTATCCCAATGTGATAACCTTTGCCAATGTGATAAACTATCCCAATGTGATAACCTATCCCAATGTGATTACCTATCCCAATGTGATAACCTATCCCAATGTGATAACCTATGCCAATGTGATAATCTATCCCAACGTGATAAACTATCACAATGTGATAACCTATGCCAATGTGATAACCTATCTCAACGTGATAACCTATCCCAATGTGATAATGTATCCCATTGTGATAACCTATCCCAACGTGATGACCTATCCCAATGTGATAACCTATGCCAATGTGATAACCTATTCCAACGTGATGACCTATCCCAATGTGATAATCTATCCCAATGTGATGACCTATCCCATGTGATAATCTATCCCAATCTGATACCCTATGCCAATGTGATAATTTATTCCAATGTGATAATCTATACCAATGTGATAATCTATCCCAATGTGATAATGTATCCACAAGTGATGACCTATCCCAATGTGATAATCTATCCCAATGTGACAACCTATGCCAATGTGATAATTTATCCCAATGTGATCATCTTTGCCAATCTGATAATCTATCCCAATGTAATAATCTATCCCAATGTGACGACATATCCCAATGTGATAATCTATCCCAATGTGATATCCTATGCCAATGTGATAATCTATCACATGTGATATTCTATGCCAATGTGACAATATATCCCAATGTGATAACATATCCCAATGTCATAACCTATCCCAATGATATAAGTTCGTTGAGCCAAAAGGAAGTAATTCCAAACTTTTGTGAAGATCAATATAAAAAAGGAAATTAATACAAATCAGTTGATTGGATTTCTAGAAGTATTGACGTAGGATATAACAAACTTAAACAGCAGACAGATGGTTTTGGTCATCTCTTTTGTAAAAAAAAATGTATAGTGTCTTTTTCTTGTAATGATAAATATTACCCATTAACCGAGAAAAAACATTTACCGGGTTTTTTTCTTGGTTGATACTCGTCATTGAACTTAATGATGCGTGAAGAGTAAATGTTTTTAATCCACAACTGTGATGTCACATGAACTATGACCACCTGTAATAGACGGTCACTTCCAAATTAAATAATACCCACCTGTACAAGATGGTCGGGTCTCAAATAAAATATTTCCACTTGTACAGGGTCGTAATTTTTTTCGTAATTAAACTCGGCCCATCCGTACGTGACGAATAGTTTATAAATTTAATTATGTCCACCTGCACCAGGTGGCCGTTTCGCCATGATATCGGTGCACTTGTACCCGGGGGTCAGATCTGTGCAAGGTGGTCAGTCTTACCTGGCACGTACGACGGATCGGCCGTGTAAGGTCGAATTCCAAACTGAATTCCACAACAGCCGATCTCAGCGAGAACGAGCCGAGACGTGGTCACTGTCAGCTTAATGGTACAATTGTTGAAAGAAATCGGTTGATCTAACGGCAAGGCAGTCGGGTTTTGTTCAGAAATAAAGTACTGCCACACGATGGACCCTGTGGACATATTCAGGTTGAAACGCTATGAATATTTTAAAGACTGAGTAGATTCATCCGAATGTGGATAATTTTGAAATTCAATTCACATTTTAATCAACCAGATTGACTTTTAAAATAATCCCCATTCTCAAAAAACATATAAATAAAATTTAAAAAATTAAACTGTCAAATGCAAAATAATAAATTTATTTTAAAAAATTACTTTAAAAGATTGTTTCGTTATTTTTAGTATTACAATATAGTTTTGAGTTTTGTTGGGCAGAGAGACAGGGAGAAGGTTCAGAGATGAATTTTTAACATGGAAGGATAGCAATTCTTGCTCTTGCATGATTTGAAGGACTGAGGGATACATCTTACAGCATCGGATTAGCTATCTTCCCTCTGTGTATATTATAAAATATATGAAGGGTATAAGATATGACAATTATGTTATTCCGCATTGGTGATTTATTTGATTTTGTGAATTATAATACATTAATAAAGTATATGGTGATGAAAACTATCGTGCTTCGTGCTTCCATAGCAGTGAATTTTCTTAATAATTAGCAATGATTTGGAATCAAGTCACAACTGTGACACTGGTGATATATATATTATGTAGTGTTACAATTACAGTTGACCTACACAGGTAATTCGGAAGAATATGATGTTTATAAATTTGGAGAAAAAAATAAGAATTAAAAAACAACAACTAGAACAAATTCTATAAACACCATATTGAATATAGTTCATCTGAACGATGACATCATTTATGTCATTAAATGTTGTTCATGAATATGGATTGTCTGCATTCACATCTGACTATCGATAGATTTAAATCACGTGTAAAAGACTAAAATCAACCAAAGCAAATTTGTGTGTGATGGGAATGGTGATTTAAACGATAGTTAGGTCACTGACCATCGGTCTGCCTGTTGGACTCCAGCCTCAGAATTAACGTTTCCGTGGATGACGGGACGTTCACATTGGGAAATTTCAATACGAACTGGCGCAGGGAAATACACACAAATGAACAAAACAAGTCAAAATCATACCGATTCCTTAACATTTGAACACTATTTATAGAAAGTATTTAGATTGATTTAAATCTATAAATATTTCCAAAAGCATATATTACACATTAAAAAAGCTCTTTTTAAACATTTGTGTATGTAATTATTGATTATATATATTTTGTATTAATATCACCTGCATTAATGTCATATGTATACTATATTTTAATTTTGTTTAAATTATATGTAACTCGACCTTGTCCACATTTATGTTAGATTATCTTGTCTCAAATACCCGACAGTGCTGGGGAAACACACGGAAACTATTCCAATGAAGATCTCTTTATTAAGAGTCAAACAACCAGAAAAGACAAGCTTACCATTTGTCACCAGGTTGATGAAAAAAAAAAGGGTTGCTGATAGGAAGCAGTATAAAGGGATATTTCATAATGGCGCCATTTGAGGCCTTGTCATATTTGAGTAAATGGGATCCCCTTAATAAATTGCTCCACCTGTGTGCTCAAAACCGTATAAGGCATTGAATATTCTCATGTTCCTACTACTTGGACAGTTATCAATGTATAACAATAGAGTAATCACCTCAAAGCTCCTGGGGTAAAATTTCCCCCTAATCCTCTCCATGATGGCGAACAAATTGAAGTCACATGACTGATTAGTGTCAGAACGCCTGGTTACAAATTGAGCAAACCTGGTGGCACCCAGCACGTGGACGTGGATCTTAGCATTGGCGAACGTGGTCAGAAATGGGTCATTCAGGAGTCTGGGGATACAGGTGAATGGTATTACTTGATGATGTTTTATAGTGTCAGTATGTTCTTGATGTGCCAACAGTTACGGACATTGGGGCTACAAATATCTAGCATATGGTACGAAACCTGTGACTTAATTTTAGCAACAAAAAAGGGTAACACGCTAATGAGCATATTTTAAAGACATCAAATCCCTTACCATGAGCATGCTACAACGTCTAATATAAGGTTGTTTTAGTGTATCGGAAAAATCAATCTTAGATCATTTTTAAAAAATGTACAGAATCGAAACAGATAATAATATAGTATTAAATATGGATATACTTCTGTACCGAATACAGTAATACTATCAGTATCGTGTAAAGTATTAATGCGGTGGATTATTTAGTTAATTAATTAATTAAAGTGACAGTTCTGAATTTTTTTTTTTGCATTTTCATACAAAGCATTGATGGGATTCAAGGCCTATATTTGAATGGAGCAATTAGGTTTAAAAAAAATGGTTTATCGGTTGCGTCTTTAGAAGATTATTTCCTGGTCGAGTTTGCATTCTGTAAAATGTCATTTCCCCATCTGCTGATAATTAGTCTGGATCAGCCGCCTATTCAACCCCATTGGGCTGATGTCCTGATTGGTGACATATTACTACACCAATGACCAAGCTATTGGCATTAAATAATAATTTTGGTGTCCAAGTTTCTCTGAAATTTTCATTGATCAATAGACTCCCGTGATAGTTTTGCAGGCTTTATTCATGAACGTTGCTGTTGAAGTCTCTGTGGACACTTGAATACAAGATCTAAAGCTGATTGGTTTAGAGAGAGTAATCAAAAAAGAAATCTAAGACACACGTGATTCGGCGACAGTTTTACATCAGATGGGTGTACGAGTATCAATGTTAAAAGCAATGGATCCCTCTGAATGAAAGGATGTAGTGAAGTCTGCCAGACATTGCTGAGAGGACAATAAAATAAAATAATGTATAATGAGCAGACTTACTGGCAGTAGAGATTGCCAACTTGATGGCAGTGGAATTGTGGGTTGCCTGTGTAGTTTGTCTGACACTTGCATCTTCCGTTGACACAATTGGCGTTGGCACCACAACTGTCACATGGGTCTGACATGACACTGACCTGACAGGAAACAAATAAAGGATCAAAGTTTCGGTAATTGTGATGTAAATTTATTTTTAGTGAGCTAAGTAAGCGTGAAAAAAACCACCTTAAACTATTCAGTTAATTGGTACAAATGACATAAAAAAAAAAAAAACCAGCCATGCAATAATTTTATAAGAAAGAGCTCCGGAACCATCTGTGTTCACCGGTATATTAGTTTTCCCGCTGCATTATTGATCCAAAAAAAGGGGGATAGACACATCTGAGATTAGTGGGAGGTCAAGAATTGAATAAAATCATTTTGACTCGCTTGATAATAAGTAACAATAGCTACCTTAGCAACACGCAGTTAAAAGTTTCCATTGAAATATTAATGGATATATGCCAACAAATGAGGACATTTGTCTCAAGTAATCTGATTCTTCTTCTTTTTGTTGTTGTTGTTGTTAATAAATACTGATATTACACGGGTTGACATAAATTTAAGTATCGTTGCATTTTCTATAACTTGATTTTTGATGTTATTGTGGTTCGGAATTCAATGTTATTTCACTCCTTAATGATTATGAGTTGTGTAACGTTCTTTCAAGATTCTATTTAGAGCTTAATTATGATCTCATACACATTTCTTATATCTAGAAAAACTCCGAGAAAAACCTGCTCGATGATGGTAGTGGCGGATTGATTATAATTTTGACAATAAATGCAGGTCCCAAAAAAGCAATAGTGTATGTATTACTTTTTGTTAGCTAATCGATGTTTGATCGCCATGTTGCGCTCAACTCTCGCCTGTGGTTCCAAGAAGCTGTAGTATAAACATCATCGTAAACGGCTTAGGGTAGCCGACTAAACCAGGTCGAGGGTAGCCGACTAAACCAGATCGAGGGTAGCCGAACTAACTTTAAGTCATCTGCGAACTAGGTCTTGTCTCCCGCAGCAATTGAAGAATGGATCCGGATGGTTGCACGGAGACGAAATAACTAGTTTTTCAACGGGAACGTAAGCTGGCAGGACACGTAGAACGCCATGATCATTCATTGCACCCAATCCCATCACCAGCCATCTCAACCTTGTCTTGCTGCTAGACGACGAGGGAGGACGAATGCCGATTCACACAACTTAAATCCAAGTTTTTCTTAATAGCAAATAACTCGATGCGCTGTGCCAGTAGCAGGGGTTGTTACTTTGGAAGCCCGTTTTTGAAACTTTGCACATTGGCGTATCAGCCCATGGGGTGGTTCATGATTATAAAGGAGTTGTAGGAGTACCGGCAGCACATAGAGTTCTAGAGTTATGTAGGGGGTGCTAGAATTAGTGCCGTAAAAGTTGTCTGCTTCACACATCTATATCGAGCCTACTGAAGTTTGTGGGAACCCCATGTATGCTGTCGAAATTCAATTTCAAATCTATAAAATCTACAAAATTTCAAATCTTTTCCATTGAAAATAGTTCCTTGGAATTCGGGCACATTTTAGGACAAGGAGAATATGGATACACCGCAGAAAAGGAAAGTCCTTAACAGGAAATGAACTAGCCTGGTACAAGATAAATTTTGCTGCCCTCTGCAAGACTGGTGAACATGGAAGGGCGAACTCTGTAAGTGCGGCTCTGGATATAAATTCTTTTGAAGTGGGTGAGGAAGCGAAGAACGTCGTGAGGTTGGTGTAGATTTTGCTATCATATCTAAACTGATTACTTTGCTAGCTAAACTTCCGAAGGGAGTAAACAAAAAAGGATAGTGACTATTTATCCAATAGTTTGTCGTAGTGCTCTGCTTATTTTTTAACTACCCGTGGTTATTTTTTTTTATTCCCACCACATAGGCTTTTCGTGACCTTTAAATGTATGTCACGGATTGAACGTGTTTGTTCTCGCATGCCCGCCACCGTTCTAGTTGGCAAGAAGGCTTATTTACGTTCAATTGTGTTCCAATTTGTCCAGAAGTATATCAGTGGGTGACGAAATTTCTAGATTGTCTGTACTAGAACGCTTTGATTTAATAACTATACAAGTCCTGCCAGGTTTCTTAGCAGATAGACTTACGGAGGCTTAGATTTAATGAGACATACTTAGGGATAGACTTGATTAGCCTTATTTAGACGTTTTTAGTTTTGTTTGTATAAATTAATATTTCTTTTCTGATGACTGTACATTTATTTCTTATTGCTGTGAGTGGATACAAGATTCGCATCTGTAATAAAAATTGTAATTGTATAAAACTTTATAATAAAATACAATTTTAACATCTCTACTTTCGGTATCGCTTTTTCTTTGAATACTGTTCGATCAGTCTTTTGTTACGTATTGTAACTAACTAGAGACAAGTAAAATAAATTATCTACATAACCACAACGGTACGTAACAGTGACATTGAAAGTGCATCGTTTTTTAGGAAGAAAACACCTTGCCATGATCAACACTATTCTGCAACAATGATCAAATTCAAATTGAGTAAAAATACTAAGTTCTATTAGGATCTCCACTCTGTCATAGCTGATGTGCAGAAGAAGGACAAGCTCATAATTATTGTTGACTTCAGTGCTCCAGTGAGCCGTGATAACACCGATTGGGATAGGGTACAAGGAAGGCATCGAATGGGCCATTGCACAGTATGGTCTCCTCTTGCATCCGATTTGCGCCGAGCACGAACTGGAAATTACTAATACAATCTTTCGACTTCCCACGCGTTTTCGAACATCCTGGATGCATCATTAATCAAAACATTTGTATCTAATCGGCCATGTTATCCCAAGGAAAAGGACTGTTAGGACATGCTTGTATTGTAACTAAGTCTGTATGTAACATCGTCCTATGTTGAACCAAGTTCACCAAGTTGAACCTTTACTTATAACCCAGAAGACGATCATAGGGGAAGAAGTGCCTCAACATATTGAGACGATATATTTGAAGAATCAGGCTATCAAAAGTACATTAGTGTATGACCTGGAAGAACATTCAAATCCACAGATAATCAGACAATCACATCGGATTGGGAATAACTCAAAGCAGTGTTGTGTAAAACCGCTCTGTAACCAAGCTCCAAAAAGTAAATAAAAAATCAGGACTTTTTTAAATGTTATTTATGTGGTAATCAATCATTTGCTAGAGTAAAAAAATCGTCTTCAACAAACATACCTTAAGAGGCAGAATTCAGTTCCCAGAGAGATGCATACAGCAACATACGAAGTACAGAGGAGCCAAAATGTGTCACATGGTGGATAAATGGCTGTTTGACAGGGCTAACAAGATCAAAGGTTCAAACTCATCAGCATCATCCCCCATTTAAAGGGCTGATGAGCAAATTCTGCTTACTTTAAAGGACAACATAATCTAAAACGCAATTTTAGAGCATCACAAATCGACCTAGATCTATCAAGGACCAAGCCATACATTGACCGCATGGTGCCCCACAACCAAGAAATGGAGACCCAACAAGCTGTATGCCTTTTCTCAAGTGGCAAATCTCAAAGTGATGATTTGATTCCCAGATGAAATTTACAAAGATATTGGCACAGCGCTGACTAAAAGGCATTTTAGAGGCTATACTTACTTGTATGAAAGCTAGTGAAGATACTATTTAATTTTAAGCACGCAACTATTGTTTACTTGTACAAACGTAAGAGAACCCTGTTCAATCCTATAAAAAAATACCATGGCATATCTTCGTTATCCATTGTTGGCAAGACCCCAACTAAAATCCTTTTAAACCTATAAATGTACATCTTGGAAGCATCAACAGCCAGAAAGTCAATGCATTTTTAGCATGGAGCTCAAATCTCTTGACATGATGCTCGCATCCAGGGAGCTGCAGGAAAAATATCAGGAATAAAAATTGATTTCTTTATGAACGTAGCAGACTTAACTAAGGCTCAAGACTGTCTGCAGGGAAGGTCTCTGAAAAATTATTGGCAAATGTAATGCCCAAAAACTAAATTTCAATCGTGCGGCAACTCCACGATAGTATGCAGGCTAGGATCGGTTACAGCGGAGAGATGTCTCAACCATTCAAAGTGTCTAATGGTGTCAAACTATGTTGCATCCAGGCTCCAACATTTTTCAGCATCATGTTTTCTAGCATGCTTTATAATGCTTTCAGCGAGTGAGCCATTGGAATCGGCATCGGTTACGAAACTATTTTTAATGGCTTGAAACTCAGGAGACTAAAGGCTCAATCCAAAGTTCGCACAGACACCATAAGACACTTTCTTTTCGCCGATGACTGTGTCTTTAGCATTTAATCAGAGACTGATCTTTAACGCATGGATGCAAACTTCTAGGTGACTGTACAGACTTGGGTCTAACCATTAAAATAAAAAAAGATCAATGCCATGTACCAACATGCTCAACGAAAACCGTAAAACAAGCCAAAAAATCAAGTCAATGGCTTAAGGATTAAATATATAAACGGCTTTTCTTACTTCGGTAGCACACTTTCAAAACTATAACCATTGATGTCAAACTTTCAAATTTCAAAGAATGTTTGAACAAGTAGAGGCATCAGCACAAACACACAAAAGTACCTTGTATACCTGCTCCCAAAGCACTACATACATGCGAATCTTAAGCAATCTATCAATACAATTCAATGAATCTCTACCACTTTCACACTATGAGCCTTCGAAAAATCCCTAACATTAACAGGCAAGAAAAGATGTCAGACACTGAGGTACTCGCAAAAGCAGGTCTTCCCACTATACACACCTTATTAATGCAGGCTTATTTTCGCTGGGCGCGCATATTGCGATAATATAAGACGACTGCTTCCATTAAAAATTAGTTTTTAGTGAAGACATGCTGTTTACTGGGCGAGAGAAGAAACGTTTAAATACAGAAAGTATACTTGAAAGCACATTGAGACTGGCATCTGGGAAAAATCCTCTAAGAATTGTGACTCATAGCACTCTTATATAAATAAGGCCTGAGTTGAACACGAGGCTAACAGAACAACTGCTGTAGGACACACACGAAAATCCAGGTAAAAATATCATTCGCAGACTTGACATGATCAGCAATCAGTGTGCACAGCCATATTCAGCCAGAACAACAGGCCGATGTTTAGAATGGTCAAGATTGACTTTCGACGGACGAAATATCATTAATAAATTGCTATTTTATTGCAATGTCTAAAACAAATAATTTATTTAATTTCCAATAAAATGAAAGGGCTAAAAAAGACACTTTATTCTTATGGAACTTTATTTTCCAAAAGTTAAGTTAGCATTGCTCCTTTTGAAAAGTTTGGGATCCGTAACAAATTTTATAGCATCAGTGAACATCCCCCAGTTGGCCACATCCCTCTCAAGTTCAAAAGGAATAATTTTCGTTCGGCATTAAGAAAAGACAATACGCTGAACTTGAACTCACCAAAGGCAAAAATGATAAAGTGAGCACGCTTGGTAGATTATAATTTTAAATTTGAATTCCTCCATCGAATTTGAAAAAATTAAGCTCAGCAATTGCAATGCGAGAATAAAGGTCTCCAAGCACAGCAATTTCAAACGATGTGTATTTTTTATTGTTAATCTTATGGCTGACATTTTTATATAAGACTTTGCATAAGTTAAACGAAATTCTGGATAAGATTAAAGGATATTAGCGAAAGTAAGTATCGTACAACCTTAAAATTATGATTCAACTATAAAACAAACGTGTGAACACGTAGCCTTTTTCGGTTAAGAAGCAACAGTGAAAACAATATGAAATGAAAGTAAACGCATAGCGTCAATGTAGTACCTGAGAGAACTTAAAAAAAAATGTGGATTAGATTAACATATAATTGACAAATGACATAGATTGATTTGAGCAACTGTATTATGGACGATTGCAATACATTAATGTATTGTTTTTTGTTGAATAGACCTATTCACAATAGATTTAAGTGACCCTAATACAGGGCAGAAAACCTATTAAATACAAGTGAGAACAATTTATGCAGAAAATATATGAACCAACAAAGGATGAATAAAGAGGGATAATAGGAATTAACCATGAATTGTACAGTCTATATCAGGATCCCACACTAGTAGCAGAAAGGAAAAAAGGTAGGCTCCCCTGAGCGGGACACTTAGAACGGATACCAAATGACAGACGAGTTAAGAGGTTACATCACCAAATCCTAGAGGAAAACGGCTTAAAGGCAGACCTAGGCTTAGATTGCTTGATGATGTGGAGAAAATCTACAAAGATGGGTATCCAAGAATAGCAAAGAAAAGCATCAGTTGAGTCTGAGTGGAAGGAAGAGGTGAGGCTAGCCCGATACATGGATGCATGTTTCGTAAAATAATTTGTAACTTTTTACGTCATAATGAGATGAAACGTATTTTTTGCACTTCATTAAATTCTACATTGGCATACCATATCATTGACATGTTTCTTTTTTTTGGTTAAAATTAACATAAAATATCATGTACAGTTGCAACAGTTTTGACCTACCTGGACAATGGCTAACATCAAGTACGCCAAGGCAATGTTAATAATGTCACTCTTCATAGCTCCTTGTGCTAAATTTACAAGATGAACATCACGTTATGAACAAAGCTGAGGAGTTAGTGTTCTTCAGCTTGGGGGTACTCGTGAAAAACTATTTTAGTTAGTAGTGTGATGACAAAGACTATCTCAATGAGGATTGTCCAGGTTTTGAGAATTCATCCATATATTACACTTCTTTATGTACAGTTAAACCAGGAAGTTGATCAAACGTTATTTCATGATGAGTTATCACCCCTTTGATGAGCGAACCTTTATTTGAAGTTCCCTCCCATTAATGCCAACGTAACACACGACCATCGAAAGATCAAAAGACGGATCCCCTAACACGGAGCTAATATATCTTCACGTTTAAAAGAAGACTGCGCCAGATATATATTCATTACGCTAGGCTCTCTTTCCCTCGCACGTGAAGGTGGTCTGCGAAATAACGAAATGAAAGAAGTGTTGTTTCCATTGAAGTCAAACTATGCCATTTGACCTCGTAAAAAAATGTACATGTTGGAAAATGGAGATATCATTCCCGTAAACAACTCTCAGTTGTTGAGGTTGAGCACAAAAAAGTCATATTTTAAAAAAAAGTAATTGGAAAAATGTCATAGAAAAAATGTCATATGAAAAAATGTCATAGGAAAAAAATGTCATAGAAAAAATGTCATAGGAAAAAATGTCAAAGGAAAAAATGTCATAAGAAAAAATGTCATAGGAAAATATGCCACAAGAAAAAATGTCATGGGAAAAAATATCATAGGAAAAAAAAAAGTCTTGGAATAACTGTCACACGTTTTGCAAGGGAAAAAGTATAAGAAGAATGCAAGTGCTCTTGTTGATGACATGGAGAAGCAGAACATGGGTTCATAAGCGAACACGCGCAGATTTTAGCCACGTCCACGTAACTTAAATGACAACTTTTTAAATTTAGGCTATTTTCGGACCGTTGATTCTCTTGCTAAGCCGGACATTGCCAAGGCAGGGAAGTATTCGTCAAATGTGCAACTAAATTTTAAATTATATGGATATAATAATCAATAGGGATTGAAATATGTTGCCCCAAAGCTTATTAGCTTGCCTTTCTCACTTAGACGACAGGTGAATTGGGTCTGTAACTTAAATGGTGCAACTGAGTTCACTTTTTTCAAAGTTGTAGTAATCCTCTAGGCCATAATGTCAATATATATATATTTTTATCCCCTGGTTTGCTAGTGGTAATGTCATTGCATGTTACATTTCTTTTTATTTTGTTCTAAAATTCGCTAATTATCTCATTCAAATAACGTTCTATATCTAGTGAGCATAAATAAGTATTTTAAAAATGTATTTCCTTTTCGATTCTTGAAGTCTGCTTATAAGAAAAAATAGATTTCAACGGTTGTATCTTTATTATACCCACCACCTCTCTCTCTCTCTCTCTCTCTCTCTCTCACACACACACACACACACAAACACACACACACACTCTTTCTCTCTCACTTGTATTTTACTTCTCTTTCACTCTTCCTTTCGTTGTGTCTCTCTCTCTGTCACTCTCTATCACACAATCTCTCTCTCTATGTCTCTCAAACGTACTCTCTCTCCGTGGAATTATACAAATTTCGCAAGGGTTTTGAGTTCGTTAGAGATAACAGGTACTATAACAATGGCTTTTAAAAATGTAGTTGTATGTAATACATAGCGGTAAATAACCAAAATAGCTCAAACTGACTTTTTTTTTTTTACATTTGTAAATTTAGTAATAATTTACCAATAATGACAATGATAAATCTGATTCAAGTTCTCTTTGGTTTCCTCGGGTATAATGACAAGGTAACGCCTCGTCCTTGCAAAACGTCTCAAGTTTTTTTTAATTTTTAATTTAATCATTGGATGCATCGCAAAGCTATAAATTATATATATAAATATATATGTGGACTTCTTTTTGCGCACTTGCTTCTATTGTGAGAAAGTAATTCTTTTATTTAAAGTTACATGCTCGTTGTAAACAGTGCCTAACAAAGGGCGATAACATAGAGAAATACAAAAATACAATAGCAAAAATACTACACTCGAAACGGTACTAATTTAAATTAATGAGATTTATTTGAGTATTAATATAATTACAAAATAAAAGAAATATAATAAATCATCAACTTACAGAGTATGGTAGATCTTGTACCGGTACACAGTTAGTACAATGTGCCAATTAATAATGTACAATGTCGAATGCGAATAAACACATATGAGTACCCAAAAAATAATTACACGTTTCTGGTAAAGTTAAAAAATATCTATCTGTATATCCCCCTCGAGGAATCTCTGAATTTCTCTTTTTATACCTATGTGTCGGTAGAACCAACGCTTCTAGAAATGTTTTCTACATTGTTTATCTTTAGAGTCAATTATTGAAATTTCCCCAAAATTGTGTTAGAATATAGAAGTTATTTTTAAGTGGTGTCGACAGTAAACAAGCTAAGATGGAAGGGAAAGGTCACGTCCATCAAGAACGCGGCGTCTCCTAATGTGGCGGTCAACCAGAGTTCACTGCACGTAAACACGCCCTACATAATAATCTGCCATGGCCGTTTTTCATTCTTGCAATGCATAAACTGTAAATCAACTTCATTGGAAGGTGTTATTTTTAATACTTAAATTCACTCAGTGGTAGAGACAGTATTGTCAATTGGCATCTCAAAGCAAGGAGATTGCTGGACGGAGGATAACTTACGAAGAGAGCTACCAACTTATTCAAGGCTCTATTCAAAGTCTTGAAAAACGAATTCTCTGTAATAAATTCACTATTTCGTGTACATTTTAGAAAAGAAATAATTATTTTGTCAAAACCTAGATTTAAAGACAAAATAAATATATTTTTTTGATTAGAACAATGGCTAACATAGTACTCTAACCGGAATTTAGATTGGTTTTATGGACCTGCTCTGTCTTTGTCAAATATAATTGTTCACCAAGTTGACCAACACTATTGAGCAAGTTACTTGATAATTTTTGCACGCATACGTAATACTTTTTATTTTTAGAGGACACTGCTAAAATGGATCTAACATGATAATCTGTTGAATTAATACACAAGCAAGAGCAGCGGTCCCAAACTATTTTGGCTCTCAGAGCCCTTTTTAAAGAATCAATTTCTGAAAGAGCGCACTTAAACCATTATAAACCTTTTAGTATCATTGTGTTTAGAAGCTTCCTGGACGAGTAACCGCTGAGAACATTTTGGTTGGGAACCAATGGTGTAGAGAGATCTCTATGGCTTACTTATTATTACATAACGTCTAATGCCGATATGATTTACAAAAAAATATATATTCATTACAATCCCATATTTAAATATATTCAGTGTTACTCTTTCATAAATCATGTGCAAAGCCCAGAAAAAAAATATTCCCGTTATTGTGTGCGTTGATACAAATCTACAATTTTATAAGTGACTACATCAGTGGTTCTTAACCTGCGTTCGATCGAACCCCAGGGGTTTGGTGAGTCACTCTCAGGGATTCGGCGGAGGTCCCCCCCAAAAAAAATCATATTTTATGTTTCCATTAAGAAGGGTTCGGTGAATGCGCATATGAAACTGATGGGTTAAGAACCAATGGATTACACTGCCCTCCCTCCCCCTTTCCCCCAACCGAATTTGGATCCTGGACGGCTGCTTCCACCATCCCACCACCTTACTCATTTTACACGAGTGTAAAAAAAAACAAAAAAAACAACAACACACATGTCTAATATTGAAGCCTTGACAATAGGGCTTGTCATTTAATGGCGGAAATCTATTAATAGAACTGATGTCACCATTACTGATCATCCGGGTACTCAGCGCGGACAAAATGTCAACACTGTTCAGTATTACTATGTTAGCGAAGTGTCCCTGAAACTTGTTTACAACTCTATTTTACGAAATATTTTATACATTTTTTTTTTTACTTCTGTTTTCTCAAATGCGACTTCATTGCGTGATATAGTAACTCTAGATACAAGGATCGCCCGAACGATATGCTGAAACACACTATAAGCTGCCATGTTTTAAGCAATATTTGTCCGCGGACCTTCTAAAAATAGTACGCTATGACGTTTTCCGGTCCTAGAAATGACAAAGCCTATAAAATAAGACTAGATTTGTCAACAGCCGAGTTCCTACTTACACGTTTGAGGTGTTTGTATGTTATTGCATTATGCATGGTGTACATGATAAGGCTGGCCACCATGTTTTTCATAATTAACAATCTTAACTCAAATCCGTAAGGTTATTCAGCAGTACATTAGCATCATGTAAGTGAAGTGCAAGCACAGTTACAGTTGTGTAGGGCACAGTCTACCAGACCAGGCCGGTCCCAAGCCCGGGTGGAAAAGAGGAGTGTTGGCGTAGGGCCAGAAAAACTCACCTGTAAAAACAAATTGCTACAGAAACGTCAACAAGAAAAAAACAAAACAAATTTCAGCCCTGAGAAGAGAGGAAAATGAAGGCGCGATTCGGCGCAAAGGAATATAAGAATTAATTAAGGGGGGATAATCACTTAATTACTTTTAAAATTGATTTAAATAAATAAGTTCCCTTGTTGTCTTAATTATTTTCGTGTTGTTTTAAAATTACTAATTGGTATTCTCATTTTATAATGAGTGGTTCTCAAAATATTAATTTAATTTTAATTAATTGTGTGTATTTTAAAATGATTTCTCACTTTTTGTAATGAGTGGTTCTCAGGTCGTTTAATTTTCAAAAATAAAGATAACAAAGTCGTATCGTACAGTTAAAATATTTTTTATTTTTTTATTTTTTCGTAACAATCATTGTTGCAGCATCATATTTAAGTACATGACCGCTTGTGGTGTAGCTTTGGGGTAGCAGGAGGAAGGGGTGTCCCTCTCCAGTGAATCTGGAATAGTGGGTGGGGGAGTTGGGGATTTGTTAACTGCCACTGCGGCTGTCTTTCTACACAGGTGGGTTTTCCTCCGATGATAACGAAGAAGCCGCCTGTGTGTTTTGATATACGCCAAGGACACCAGATCCTCTTTTGTTAGCACGGCATACATCACCGCGGGCCATTGGACCTCCACCAGCTGGTTGTCATGCTCCTGTAATGCGTTATGAAAAACTTGTGTTGGTTAAGAGATAATAGGACAGGGGGGAAAAGCTATTACGAAATGAATAATAATAAAGAATATTTCGTTATTTCATGGGTTGAAAATGGTTCCTTGCAAGCCCCATGCGGTCCGTGGGCCTTATTTTTGCAGGCTTGATGTAGGGCATAATTACAGTTATTTTCTGCTTGCATTTCTTATTTTTATAACTGATATTGAGAGTTTATTTTGTTTAATGTTGCATTGGTAGAGGAGGTAAGGTTATTCAATGCTAAAAAAGACATGGGTGAGGGCTATTCTAATATCTGGATACAGAAATGAAGATTGCCAATAGGACCATTGCAGATCAAGGCAATGCGTGATGGCCAATAGGACCATTGCAGATCAAGGCAATGCGTGATGGCCAATAGGACCATTGCAGATCAAGGCAATGCGTGATGGCCCTAAACCGGCCTTTTACTTCAAAGTTTGTTCGTAGAGTTTTTTTTGTCGTTGCGTTTTTGTAGGTGTTTTGTAAGTTTCATAAAATCGACTGAGTGGTAATATTGATGTATACTAAAGCTTGTGTTTCTTAAATGATATTTTTAGAGCTTTAAATTGAATGCTCGAAAAAAAGACACCATTGCCTCCCCGATAAAACTCCCATATGTTTGTATTAATAGGATAACCAAATGCTTGTATTAATAGGGTAAACCGTATGTTTTTATTAATAGGATAACCGTATGTTTGTATTAATAGGGTAAACCGTATGTTTGTATTAATAGGATAACCTTATGTTTGTATTAATAGGGTTAACCGTATGTTTGTATCAATAGGATAACCATATGTTTGTATTAATAGGGTAAACCGTATGTTTGTATTAATAGGATAACCACATGTTTGTATTAATATGATAAACCGTATGTTTGTATTAATAGGGTAACCATATGTTTGTATTAATAGGGTAAACCGTATGTTTGTATTAATAGGATAACCATATGTTTGTATTAATAGGATAACCATATGTTTGTATTAATAGGATAACAATATGTTTGTATTAATAGGGTAATGCGTATGTTTGTATTAATAGGGTAAACCGTATGTTTGTATTAATAGAGTAACCATATGTTTGTATTAATAGGGTAAACCACATGTTTGTATTAATAGGGTAAACCGTATGTTTGTATTAATAGGATAACCATATGTTTGTATTAATAGGATAAACCGTATGTTTGTATTAATAGGATAAATCATATGTTTGTATTAATTGGGTAAACCGTATGTTTGTATTAATAGGATAACCATATGTTTGTATTAATAGGTTAAACCGTATGTTTGTATTAATAGGATAACCATATGTTTGTATTAATAGGGTAAACCTTATGTTTGTATTAATAGGATAACCATATGTTTGTATTAATATGATATACCGTAGTTGGTATTAATAGAGTAACCATATGTTTGTATTAATAGGGTAAACCGTATGTTTGTATTAATAGGATAACCATATGTTTGTATTAATAGGGTAACCATATGTTTGTATTAATAGTGTAAACCGTATGTTTGTATTAATAACGTTTACCGTATGTTTGTATTAATAGGGTAAACCGTATGTTTGTATTAATAGGGTAAACCATATGTTTGTATTAATAGGGTAAACTGTGTGTTTGTATTAATAGGATAATTATATGTTTGTATTAATAGGATAAACCGTTTGTTTGTATTAATAGGATAAACCATATGTTTGTATTAATAGGATAAACCGTATGTTTGTATTAATATAATAAAACATATGTTAATATATTAATAGGATAAACCATATGTTTGAATTAATAGAATAAACCGCATGTTTGTATTAATACAATAAAGCATACGTTAATATATTAATAGGATAAACCATATGTTTGAATTAATAGAATAAACCGTATGTTTGTATTAATAGGATAACCATATGTTTGTATTAATAGGATAAACCGTATGTTTGTATTAATAGGATAACCATATGTTTGTAATAATAGGATAAACCGTATGTTTGTATTAATAGAATAAATCATGTGTTAATATATTAATTAGATAAACCATATGTTTGAATTATAGGATAAAACATATGTTAATATATTAATAGGATAAACCATATGTTTGTATTAAAAAATGTTTTGTAAATATTTTTTGGAAACAAAATATACATGAAATAAAAGAGAATATGGAACATGTATTTGTAGGTGAAAATATCTCAATAATTCTCCACACAAGATAATATATTCGTAAATGTACACAATGTTTTGTTTTTTTCCTCTACAGTGGACCGCCTTTTTTCAAGTTGTGCGACTGCTCACTTTTTGCAAAAGCCATTCTTTTTTTATCTTCAACAGTGTCAGCATATTTGTTATATTTACAAGGATTCATGTCCATATATTTTTCGAATTTTTGTGTTTTTCCTTAATTGTATCGGATACCTCACATACCATTACTGTTTGAGGACAAGACGGCCTTCGTAAAAACACGTTTGCTAACATATTTCAGAATATATATTATATAAACATTTGTTTGTAAAATATCTTTTAAAAGATAGTTATAAATATGTTTTCGTCTAGTTTAAGGTCTACTTCAGGAATTTGAAGTGAAACTTACAAACTTACTCGGCGTTTATATATGACGATGGCTATCTCCAAAAGTAGTATCAATGTACAGGGAGAATACTCGAGTGAGTTCCCAGTTAATCGGGGCCTGAGACAAACAGATTCACTACCATGTGTCCTTCTTAACATCATGCTAGACAAAGTTAGAAGCATACACGCGAGCACTAGTGGAACCATGACAAGCTATTTCCAGAGAGGTGTTACAGAACAACAACCATCGGGAACTTTATATAGCCAGCCATTGCAGTACCTGGCATACGCAGACGCTATAGTGCTGCTGGCAGAGACAAAAATGGCATGGATAAAGCATTCAGGGAACCGTGAAATGCCTCATTCGAAGGTGTTCTTGATTTAAATGAAGTGAAGACAAAATATATGATATTGTCACGAAACACTCACGCTGATGACAACAGCAATATAAACAACCACACATTTGAGAGAGTGGCCGCATTCAAAAATCTTGGGGCTAATATAAACAAGCTCAATGCAATAATGTCTAAGGTGAAACAAAGGATAACAGAAGGCAACAATTTTTATTTCGGCTTGCAAAAAACTACTGGGAGGCAAAAACATCTCAAGTGGAACAATCATCAGGAAAATATTTCGTTCAGTGATAGAAAATGATGTCTGGAGAATCCGTACAAACGATGAGCTATACTAAATGTACAAAGAACCACACAGAGGCGCAACTTTACAAAAAATGCAGACGGCGCCGGGCAGGACTAATAGAAATGATGCCGGATTATAAAGTAAAAAAGAAAGTGATATAAAGGCAGAATCCTAGGGGCAGACGGCTAACAGGTCGTGCAATACTGAGATTGAGCGACGATGTAGTGAAGGATTTACACCATTTGTGGTTTCACGCTTGGAAGCGGAACGCAATTGATCGTTCCGAAAGAAAGAATGTGATGGAGCAAGTCAGGGTCCTGCTTGACATGTAGCGCCGTTAATGATGATGATGATAAAGCACACTGCACTTACCCAAATTAACGTAGAAGTAACGAACAGCTGTTGAGAGATTGGCCAGAACATATCGACTAGATATAGTATCAACAACTTTCCACTATTTAATGAGATTGGCTTAACTGAATGAAAGGATGTTCTATAAATAAATGTGCCCTTATTAACCTTGCATTAACTTATTTTAATTGTGACACATAGTACGGTTGTCTAGAGGTTGAACCCCTTGGGTTATTGCAACAGAACAATGTGTAAGTGTCTTAGAATACCTTTCTTTCGATCCCCTTCAGAGCTGATGTGCTGAATTACCTAGCGCCTATAAAGATGATGTGTTGAATCAAATAACACAAAGATGAGAAACTGTTTATATTCATTTAATATAATCCTTTGTATGCATGTGAGTTGAAAGCGCATAAGAAAACAACAAATACTTGAATCTACCTAAAAGATCAATCCTACTCCTAAATCCACAGAAAAATTCAATCACTACAAAACTAAAATCACCCACACTATCAACAGCGCTCGTCACTGTCTACGTAACACTCCTCTATCCTTACCACCTTTCTCTCACGTGTTTTTTATTCCGACACACCGCAACAGCCATCTGTGGCTTAAGACAAATCGTGGGATTTACTATTGAGAAGGTATTTACTAAAGGAGAAGAACCGTTATCACTCACTCAATATCATTAAAACAGGCACAGAAGAAAAATCACCCGATCTGACCGTGATTGAATGCACTACAACACTTTTTTGTGTATTTTTGTGGGTTATATTATGTTTTAAATACTTTTTTTTTATTACGGTATGTAGTTTCTATGGGGTGTAGTTTGTGTCAGAAAATTTCAATTAAACCACATTATAAGTTAAAGATCTGTGTGTATGTTGTGTTATTTAGTTGATCATTACACTCATTCTTTCTGTTCATTATATTATATTTTATATCTTCAATATCCGTTAAAAAAAAACATTTTAATTAAAATAAGTATCATCCATTTTCCTGTGTATTTTTGTATACGCTACAAAACTACCTCTGTCATGTTTACTTTCGTTTAAATGAACGACAATGCTTTGAACATTTTTGTATGAATTTCGGGCTTTACAACATCTCTTTAAACATGCTTTGATTTTTACGTTTGCTCATTTTTATATATAATAATTATACACATCTAAATATATATATATATATATATATATATATATATATATAAATGATAGGAACTCATTGTCAATCTAAAATAAAAGAGGGCAGCTGTTGTATACATGGTCAATGAGGCAACCCTGATCCACATGGTAAATGGGGCAACAGAGGTTTACAGCGTCAATGAGACAACTGTGGTTTACAAGCACAATGACGAAACTCTGGTTTACAGGAAAATGAGGCAACTGTGGTTTACAATGTCATTGAGACATATGTATTTACAAGGTCAATAAGACAACTTATGTTTATAAGGTCAATGATACAACTGCAGGTTGCATCGTCAATGTGGCAACTATGGTTTAAATGGTCCATGTGACAACTGTGGTTTACACGGTCAATGTGACACATGTGGTTTACAAGGTCAATGAGGCAACCGTGGTTTACGGGTCAATGAGACAACTTTCGTTTACAAGGTCAATAAAACGAACGTAATTTACATGATCAATGAGACAACTGTGGTTTACAAAGTCAATGTGACCAATGTGGTTTACAAGGTCAATGTGACAAATGTGGTTTACAAGGTCAATGAGGCAAACGTGGTTTATGGATAAATGAGACAACAACTGTTTACCTTGTCAATGAGACATTTTTCATTTACAACGTCAATGAGACAACTGTGGTTTGCAAGGTCAATGAGACAACTGTGGTTTACAAGGTCAATGAGACAACTGTGGTTTGCAAGGTCAATGAGACAAATGTGGTTTGCAAGATCAATGAGACAACTGTGGTTTGCAAGGTCAATGAGAAAACTGTGGTTTGCAAGGTCAATGAGACAACTGTGGTTTGCAAGGTCAATGAGACAACTGTGGTTTAAGTTTATTTAGTCTCCGTACGTGTAGTCATAAGTAGAGAAATAGAGTATTATATTGCTCACATAAGAAGATGGGAGGCAACTTTACTTGTTGAATCCCTGTTGCGTGGTAGCCTTTATGATCCCGCTCAATATCTACACACACCGAAACACACACAAGGAAAGTACCAATAAACACTCATCAATTTCAAACAAAGAATGTATTTCCAATGTATTACTTTCAACCTTTTAGGTGGAAGATTGTTCAAAGTAAATATAATAGATCTTTTAAACGATTGTGTGTTGTTGTTTTTTTTAATAATAATAAACTGATATTCTAATTTTTTTTTAAAAATCAAAAGTAAAACCATGACTGCAGTATAAGTAATGCTTTAAGAAATTCTACCCATGCGCTTTCGTAAGAGTTGCGGTCAATAGTCGTCCATTGGAGTGCTTTCTTTAAAATCAGGAAATTAATGTTAGCATGACGAGTTAACGTATTCCTGGAGGTAAGGGAATTTCGCTATGTTACAATTGAGCTGCACAAAGTTCTTGGCAATGACGCAGGACATATAGAAATCGTTGCACACGTAGTTCGTAAGAAGGGTGATGATATTGTAGAGGAGTTTGTTGTCCAACGTATTCTTAGAGATGCAGTTGATGAGAGGCGCATTCGTGAATATGAACCAAGCGTAGTCGGACAACCGGGCCCGTCTGTCTAAGTCGCACGCCCTGAGGTACTCAGAGAGGCTGTATTCTTCTATTTGTTTCGTCAGGGAGACCCAGCCAGCTACGTTTGCGTTGGCATGGAACGTCATTGCCTTGACCGGGTCAGGGATGCTCAGAGCGGTCTGGACGTCCGCGAAAGTAAACGACCCCTTGTCAAGACACAGGGGCTCATTCGAAGCTAGCCAGTTGTTAAATGTGGGCTGGTTGTTTGTGTCGATCTCAACAAAGATACCTGAAACAGAAAGATGGTGGGTTTTTCTTAACTTAAAAATGTAATCTTTCCTCATGTTATACATTTTCTAAGCCAAAGCGTTGAAAATACAATTCTTTTGGATAGTTTATATGAAAAAGAATCAGTAAAACAAGTTGATGGATTCCTAGAAGTTGAGGCGTAGGAGCTAACCAATTTAACTGTAGGCGTATTGGTTTTCGCGGTCATCATAAGTAACACCTGATTCAACGACACCAAACATGTACCGGTTTCTACGTAGTTAAACGTCCTTGACCTCAGTGTAGGGTGACGATTTTATTTAGTCAATTATATACCGACATATATTCATGTGTACAAGGCAATCAGTTATCAATGGGTATATGTATATATGAACAAGGTAATCAGTTCTCAACGGTAATCTGTCTACCTGTACAAGGTAATCATTTAGCAAATGAAATATATATACATGTACAAGGCAATCAGTTCTCAACGGTAATCTGTCAACCTGTTCAAAGCAATCAGTTAGAAAATGAAATATGTGTACATGTACAAGGCAATCAATTCTCCAATGAAATATGTGTTAATGTACACGCCAATCAGTCATGAACTGTAATATATCTACCTGTAGAAGGCCATCAGTTCTCAACGGTAATATGTCAACATGTACAAGGCAATCAGTTATCAAATGAAATCTTTGAAATTGTACAAGGCAATCAATTCTCAAATGAAATATGTATTAATGTACAATGCAATCAGCTCTGAAATGAAATCTGGCAGCTTATAAAGTCAGCTCTGAAATAATTATAGACCGCCGCTAGAAAAATGTCAAGTCTCAATGAAATATGTTCATCTTTAGCACGTTGTCATCTCTTAAATGGCTTCGGCCCATCAGTATAAAGTGATTAGTTTTCAACCGAAAGTGTCCAACTGTACAGCATGGTTATTTCTTATAGAAATTGTGTCAACCTGTAAACAGCTATCAGTTTTAAACTTAAAACGCTCAACCTTCAAAACGTGGTCATTTCTTAAATGAAATCGGTCCACATGTCTCATTCGTCACGCCAGTTCCCTGGTGTCTGTTTTCGATGTTTATCGTTCCGTCATTACAAGATGGCTAGTTCTCCAATAAAAATAACCACATGCACAAGACATGAAGGTCTCATATGAAATCTCTCAACTAAGGAGGAAATTGTTTTCGGTATACATTGTTATAAGACGTGTAAGTCTTACCTGGCGCGTACAACGAATTCTCTGTGTAAGGTCGAATACCAAACTGAATTCCACAACAGCCGATATCAGCGAGAACGAACCGAGACGGAGTCTCAGTCAGTTCAATCGTACAATTGTTGAAAGGAATAGCTACAGAAAATGACAGGGCCGTTGGTCCTTGTTCTGAAATAAAGTACTGCCACAAGATGGCCCCTGAAGAAAAATTAAAGCTATGAGTATTTGAATGAATGAGGCATTTTTAAAAACAATTGGGATTATTAAAGAGTTAATCGTATGCCTTTTAAAATGACAAGAAATCGAAATATAGATTTTTTTTTTTTTTTTTTTTTTTTTTTTTTTTTTTTTTTTTTTTTTTGTAATTCGTAATAAAAAATGTTTATTGACTTTAAAACAAAAAATCACATTAACAAAAAATGTCTACAGTATATGTCAGATGGCATCATATGAAACAAAAGCTACGTAGGAACAGTAATTAAAAAGATGGGTAAAGTCACTGACCATTGGCCTGTCTGTTGGACTCAAGTTTGAACACTAACGAGGTGTTGACATTGGAAAATTTCAGCTCGAACTAAACCAGAAAATTACACACAAAAAACAATTAAATGTAAACATCAATTATTCCTTTCACTAGAAACTTTCTTATTGCACTTTTATAGAACGCTTAATGTCTATTAATTTGTTCAAAACATTTCAATAGAAGCTCAACTTCTTCTATATTTAGAGGGCTCCACGATCAATGGATTGATCATTCTGGATCCTATGTCTGTGGATAGTCTCGTGATGTAACTTTGCATAGTTTTGAAGAGGAAGCTTCACTGGTCGCAAGGGGTACTCAGTGATGGTATTAAGAACTGTGGGTTGGAGGACAGGAGAGCATTGACACAAATGTGTCAAGTGTAGTCACCTCACGTGTTGCTTTCGGAAGCCTATTCTAGTCCCTGTGTGTCTTTGCTTGGATGAGGAGTTCATGTACTGAGTTTTTATTTTTATGCGCTGGAACTGCCTGTCATGATCCGATCGCTGTCTAAGGAGGGGGAGAGGGACGAGTTTCTGTTTAATTTTGGAGCAATTGACCAGCCCATTTTTTAAATCTTGTACATTATGGAGAGCCTGCGAAGTCATCATCGTTCCTCCAACGGTAACCAGCCCAGTGTTACCAGCTTACTTCCGATGCTTGAAGTGTTTCTGTAGTGGTTCAGGACAAAGCGTGCTGAACGTCGTGGGACCGCCTCCAACATGTCGATGCCCTTCTGTGTGAATTAGCCCAAGACTGAAGTTGCATAATGTAAAATCGGCCGGACCAAGGCTTTATAGTCCTTTTATTTCACGTCTGAGGAACAGATCCTCAAATTTAGCCTGAAGAATCCTAGGGTCTACTTTGCCCGGTTGCACACACTGTTAATGTGCTCGTCCCAGTGGACCCCTATTTGAATTGTAACTCCGAAATACCTTACCGTGAAAACTGGCTTATTAATACAGCCCTGAAGTTTCTAAGAGTAGTGTAGAGGGATTTCAGCTAATGAAGACTGACAGGTTCTAGTACTTGACGGAATACAATTCCACGCCCCAGTTCATCTGCCACTCGGCTAACCGGTGGAGATCCCGTTGTAGCTGGTCCTGGTCAGTACTGATGGCCATCGTGTCGCACACTGCCGTATCGTCTGCGAACAGTCTTGCTTGGGAGGTCAGCTTCTCGGTCAATTCATTGATGTCCTTTTGTATACATATTTCTTTTCAATGTTTATGTTATATGAAATTATTGGCCATTGTCTAGAGTATTTTCTTTAATTAGATGTAATATATTTTCATTTCTTCATTTATATATGATGTTCCTTGCTTATAATGCATTTTTATTATGCTTAACTTGCCTTTATAACTATTTATATTAGATATAAATATATATATATATTGTCTTTTCAATATTTACATTATAAATCTCTGCACCAGACGCACACTTATATTAGATTACCTTGACTTTGATACCCGACATTTCTGTGAAAGCACGCGAGAGATATGACAACGAAAATCTCCTGATGAGCCTTAACTGGCAATCAAATACATGCTTACGTCTTACTCTGTGACAGTATGAGTGACTGACGATTGTTGTTGTCGCTGTGTATTAGCTGAACTTTGTGATTCTCATTGTCCTGTGTGGTCGTCATGTTGTATGACCTGAGGTTGTTAGTGGTTTTCATGAATGATTCATCTTGAATGTGTACATATTGTTTGGAGTGTTGGAGTGAGTGGTCATGTGGTGTAGAATGGAAAATAAAGGTTAGTTTAACAGACCATAGCCTTGAGAAGAGATATCTTATTAGAGTAGTGCATACCCAGGGTCATTAAATAGAGTATCGTGGAATGAACCCGAAGAATGGGGTCATTTCATAGTATTCGTTTTTAGATATCATTTCGTTTTGGCTTCATTAGCTTTCATGTTTTTGTGACGTCATTAGGGGGTCAATTAATTATTCGTCCATCCTATGTTCTCAACATTATTTTCGTCTTTCCGAGATTGTTTCGTCCCATAAGCAAAATGTTGTGATTATTCTCGCTATCCCAATAATTGTTCATCTGTGAGTTGTATAACAAAAAAATATTCACCTCAAAACTCCTGGGGTAAATTTTCCCCCTAAGTCTCTCCATGATGGCGAACAAGTTAAAGTCACATGACTGATCCGTGTCAGAACGCCTGGTTTCAAACTGAGCAAACCTGGTGGCACCCAGCACGTGGACCTTGATTTTTGCAATGCCAAACGTGGTCAGAATTGGGTCATTCAGAAGTCTGTGGGACGCATGTGAGAATTAAAACTTGATCTGCATGTTATTGTGTCATTCCGTAATTTAAACAGTTATGAACATGGGGAGAACATATCAAACAGCCAGTACAAAACCTGTGATTAACGGTCAGGTCACATGATGTCTTGTTGTGTCTAATTTTGTCAGTGAGCGATATTGTTTTCTTTAAGTATCTTCCATATATACCCCACCGCACTTACTGAGCACAGAATGAGCCAGGACCTAATTCCGTGGTGGCGTGTAATTATTGTCAAGGGCGAGAAGAAGTTCTTGTTTAAAAGAGCGAGTGATTGGTCAGATGAGCTCAGTACATCTTCGATGGGGAACATGAATTTCCTATCTTCCATTGTGGACGGCATCATTACTGGTTGGTTTTAATTGTGCACTGTGTTTTAACACAGTATATACATAATTAAACAATACCCTTTTATTCAAACCATCTTGTTTTTTTTTTATTTTGAAGTGTGAATGGTTTACTCAACATAAGCCTTGTAGAGACTAAGAGAAAGAAACGGAGGTCTTAACCCAAATATTGTTTCTGTGGCAGTTTGAAGGGACCTACCTCTAGACGACTATCTGCCACATCAGTCTGTACTTAAAAAAGTTACGGACATGGGGCAAAAATATCAAAAGTACAGTTCGAAACATGCGATTCACATGGGTGCAACAAAAATATGGAATACAGGCGCCAGAATGATCAATTCATGTATCGCTGGCCCTCAAATTAAGAAGAAGAAGAATACGATATAGAATGGAAGTGTCAAAGCGACAATCATGAACAAAAGAAAAAAAAATGACACGTTAAAACAGCAACCATAAGGTTGTTTTAGAGGGATTGGAAACATCAATCCTTTATGACCAAAATCAGAAAGTTTATTGAATCGAATCAAAAAATTTTATGGTAATGAATATGGATATTCCACAGTATCAAATCTTTGATGTATCTTTTGCTTCTGATTCGTCTTGCTTCGTCTTTTTAAAATACGGATGTTTTTATGTTTAAAACACTGAGTGAAAAAAAGGCTGTCATGCTACATGTCTGAACTTTGGTAAAAAGGTCCATATTTTCCTGAGGGAGAAGCGACTTATTTTCGCTATTGTTTTTCTTCGTGCTCCTTTGTTACACTGTTAGCTTCTAGCGTAACGCCCGCTCTCCAGTAAATACGTTATTTTTTTATATTTAGAAATAAATTTAGTTTTTTAAATGTTGATGTCTTTTTTTTTTTTTTTTTTGGCCCATTAATTGACGACCTTATATTCTCATTCGACGGGCTGTTGTTCAATATCACCTATATTCCGTGATCCAATCCTTTGTTACACTGTTAGCTTCTAGCGTAACGCCCGCTCTCCAGTAAATACGTTATTTTTTTATATTTAGAAATAAATTTAGTTTTTTAAATGTTGATGTCTTTTTTTTTTTTTTTTTGTTGGCCCATTAATTGACGACCTTATCTTCTCAGTCGACGGGCTGTTGTGCAATATCATCTATATTCCGGGATCCAAATGGACTGCATCTAACAGTGTGTTATTTCTTGAACTGTTGACGAAGGCAATGCACTCTCACTACCACACACGCACACTGCAGTAGATTGTGTTGCATTTTAAAGAAAACGAGAAGTTAATTCTTTTATTTTTTTAACACTTGGATCCACTACACTAGCCTGTCCCGATGTATAAAAATAATTTTAAAAATAAATGACAGAAAAAGAAATGGACTTGATTAAACCCCCCTTTTTTTCTTTTTTTACAGAATACGGTTATATTTCAGGATCAAATTAAGTAGGACCACAGAATAATAATTCATGCACTAGTTTAGTTCCGTGAAACGGATGAGAATTTCGGGCTGCCATTTCGTCTTTTTTTTAATTTGATGCATTTAAGTGATTCGCATCCTAAATTTGACTGGCTAAGTGGTCAATGGAATAAATAAGTTAAGATTAACTGGTCCATTTAGTAGCGTTTTTAGAAGATCCCTTACTGTTCAAGTTTGCCTTTTATAAAGTTGTATCTCTCCTTTTGATCTTGGTTTCTTTGGTTCTGCGATGTTCTTTTTTTCATAATTGAGCGTCTGTCAACATAAGTATTTCATAAGTTCCAGTAATCTGATACACACGACCAAGCTTATAGGCGCGAACAAGAAATGGCTTCTAATTTTTTTTTTAAATGTCTTGAAACATTAGATTCTCGAGGTAATTTTGCAAAATGTATTCTTGAGAACTAAAACAACAAAAAACGCCACAATTTTTGATGCCCCAGGGGATTTTCGGATACCTGATCAAAAGCGAAGACATTTACGGACACAATCCAAGAGGCAGACGGCACGCCGGTTGGCCAATGCTAGGACAAATGAGATGCGGAGACGGTTTCACATCTGCTTGTGGTCCGAGCTTAAAAGCGAAAGTAATGGCATAGTCTGAATGGCACGATGTCGTAGCTTGCTAGACAATAATGGCTAAGACAGAATAAAATAAGGTAAAATGATGAGCATACTTACTCGCAATAGAGATTGTTAACATGGTGGCAGTGGAATTGTGGGTGGCCTGTGTAGTTTGCCGGACACACACAGTCTCCGTTGACACAAACGGCGTTGGCGCCACAACTGTCACATTGGTCTGACATGACGCTGACCTGTCAGGTCACATATAACATGATATAATTTTTTATTTAATTTTTTTAGAAAAAAATTAGCTGAAATTAGCCTTCAAATATTCTGTCAATTAGTTGATAAAAATGATAGCAAACTAAAAAACAACAGATCAGTGCAGAGTGCCACAAACGATGTGTAGCGGTAAACTAGTGTGGTGCATGATACTGCCAGATGTGCTACAGCTGTACTGGTCCAAGAGAAGACTAACCCCAGAATGTATGCTGAGATACAGAATTGAATATAAATATTTGATGAAAAAAAAAGTAATTAGTTTATCATCAAGTTAATGAGACCATGCAATAAAACATCACAGAATATGAGGTAATAAAAAGTTGGGTGAGTAACTTATGTCTCAAATCATCTAAATATTGCTGAGATTTATATTAGAAATTACATGCTGTTTTTAATACACTTTTTCCCGTGTGTCAACTTTCTTTGACCTCGCATTAGACTAGTAGCAGACAGTAATGTGTGTTGTGGGCGTGGTTAAATCTCTTTGATGTATCGTGTTTACTACCGACTTTCAATTAAAAATGATTAAAATGTTAACTAGTATCTTTTCAAAGGTTCTCGATTGAATTAGAAAAGTAAGGGCGTTTCTAGACGCGTCGTTAAACCCACATATATAAGGGATTGACAGGCACGGCGAGAGACGGAGATTGATAAATATTTTTAATTTCACGAGACGTGTATTATTCTTTGTGTGCATATGTGTTATTCGCATTCATCATTATTGATTGGCACATTGTTCTATTCCTGAGCCGGTGCAAGATTTTCTGATACTCTGTAAGTTGATGATTTGTAATTATATTTCTTTTGTTTTGTAATTGTATTATTAATGCATTAAATCTTATTTGTAATGGGCAACTGTTTTGCGTGTCATATCTTTATTATCGTATTTCTATGGTATTGTGCTTTGTTAGGCACTGTTCGAACGAGCCTTAAAATTAAAAATAAGAGATTAATTTATCGCAATAGAAGGCAGTGTTTAACAATGCATTTACATACTTTTCATCGAATATTTTATCATTTAATGAAAATGACGTAAGTGTGTTTCGGAAATGAATAATTCATTACAATTGTCGGAAAAAGAAGTTTCTACCATGCTCTGATAACATTAAGGGGCTCAAAGTATTAAATACTTCATCCTTGGCAAACAAAGCTTCAACATGCATACCAAATTAAAAACATTTGTCTCATTCCAGAAAAATATTTTGTATTCAAATTTAAAAATGCATTGAAGCAACTGAAATACGGTGGGAAAATAGTATCAATTTTTTTAAAAATCTGGAACAATACTGCGTTGATACGTTTCTCCAAGTCAAAAAAGACAAAAATTAGGTTTGGAAGTAATTCAAGACAATCTTTCATCTTCACGAAATGCACATAAGATACAGATGGTGAGCTTTGTTGAATAAACGAAACTTCGAATTGCTTCATCGAATTGCTTCATCGAATTGCTTCATCGAATTGCTTCATCGAATTGCTTCATCGAATTGCTTCATCGAATTGCTTCATCGAATTGCTTCATCGAATTGCTTTATCGAATTGCTTCATCGAATTGCTTCATCGAATTGCTTCATCGAATTGCTTCATCGAATTGCTTCATCGAATTGCTTCATCGAATTGCTTCATCGAATTGCTTCATCGAATTGCTTCATCGAATATGACAAAAAATATGTCTTCAGCAAATCAAACTCAAATATTTTGTAATGCGTTTTACTTCTGTGTCACGAACAAATGAGGTGTTCGGCGAGAGCAGAGAGTTTGCCAGGCACCGTAAATGAGACCATACTTATTCAACATTGTTGTGTTACGTTATTGGACCAAACTATGATATACGACTTTGCTAATGTTAAATGATACCCTTGATTATATAAAGAAGTCATTGGTAAAGGATTTGAAATTAATTAGGCAACTATTTCATCAGCGACGGAAATACAATACATCATCAACATCGGCTTTACAGTCCATGTATGGCCTTGGCCTGACCACTATATCCTTCCATTTTGGATCAATCCATTGCATTTCGCCTCAATGTACGGAACGCTAACTGATGTAAGTCCTTCTCTACATCATCAACCCATCTCAGACTTGCGCTAGGCCTGTGGGTCACCTTTATGCACTAGATTCCGGCATCCTCTAAAGGTTTTCTGTCCTGAACAATCTGACAGTTTTATTGTTGAGACTATGGTTGAAGCTTCGTACAACTGATAGATCTCTTGGTATGGATTTTCGAACAATCACTGCCTATCACCTGACCATCCAGATTCCTGACTATTTTCCTATCTCATATGTTAAAAGTTCGCTCCTAGTAATCTGAAAGAAGCCAATCTCTAAAAGGTGTGGTCGCTTATCATGATGACATAATCAACGTGCGTGTTTCGTGACATTACCATTTTCAATTTTGTCATTGCTTCATTTACCTCAAGACAATCTTTAACGGAGCCGTCTTCAAGTTTCTTGAATTCTTTTATAATAAAATCTGCTGTTTCTACATGTGGCGCTTTCAGCCTATGGTGAGAATTGCAATGGTTAGCTGTATAAAGTTACTTTTGGTTGTGGTTCTATAATTTTTCCCTCCCAACTGTTTGTGATAGATCCACTGGAGCTCTCATGTGTTTTCATCACTACTTTTGATAACGCGATGTTAAACAAACAACATAAAAGTGTATCTCCGTGTTTTGCGGCTCTGATTTCCTTGGAAACTAACCCGAGTGCTCTCTCTGTACTTTTAAATTACTATGTGAGTTAACCATTGTCAAATGTTTCAGACTTGTCAGTTTCTAGCGCCTCCATGTTCCTGAAGAGCATGATATATATATATTATATATGTATATATATTTATATATATATATATATATATTTATATATATATATTAGCTGTCTACTATATCTTAAGCTGTCTTGCAGTCCACTTATTGATATTGTTCCTTGTTGCTGTATTCGTAACATTTTACGAGAAAACACTTGATAATAAGAAATATAATTTATTTATTTAGGCATTTTTATATAGCGCTTACCATAAAGCTCTAAGCGCTTTACAATTATTAAAAACATGTAAACTAACTAAAATAAAAATGAGACGCTAGGCTAGTAACTACTATACTATAGAAACAATGAAAATGGCTATAAAACGAGGACACTTTGTCACGTTTTGGCCTAAACTTCAGGATCAACCTGAAACAGAAAATGAGGCAGGGTAAGGAGGGTGCATCACAGGTCATAGGCGGACCTAAACAGATGAATTTTAAGGGACTATTTGAAAATGGACGAGGTTTAACAATAACCGATGTGGAAGGGGAGCTGGTTCCAAATATAGAATCCACATTGCTAGTCATCTAGGATATGCTCACTAGATATTTCCGGTGTTCTTGTTATTAGTTTATTTAGGATGTTTTAAGTTACATCCATTTGGGAGATTCCTATTTAAAATAAGCATTTCAACTAAGGTCCTATCTTGTGAATAGGGAACATAAGCGGAGTATTCCATTTCTATTGTATCATTATGTGTTTCCTTCTGCCAAAATTCTTTTCATGAGAACATATATTTGCCAATGTCGTTTGATGTCACCTAGTCATCAGTTCTGCAGTGATAAGGTCTAATCCTTGTGCTTTGTTTAATTTTTTGTAAAGATAACATCTTTTGTTTCATACAGTGTTGTTCAACTGACCAATGGTCCCGGCCACTGAGTGTTGTTTAACTGACCAATGGTCCTGGTCACTCAGCGTTGTTTGACAGACATAATGGTCCCGGTCACTCAGTGTTGTTTGACTGACCAAATATTTCTGGTCCCTCAGTGTTGTTTGACTGATCAAATGGTCTCGGTCACTCAGTCTTATTTGACAGACCAAGTGGTTCCGGTCACTCAGTATTGTTTGACTGACCAATGAGTCCGGTCACTTAGTGTTGTTTAACTTACCAATGGTTCCGGCCCCTCAGTGTTGTTTGACTGACCAACGGTTTCCATCATTCAGTTTTGTTTGACTTACCAATTGTCCCGTTCATTCGGTGTTATTTGACAGACCAATTGTCCCTGTCGCTCCGTATTCTTTGACTGACCAATGGTCCGTGTTTAATTTTTGGTAGGTTATGTAATTTATTGGCTCCTCCGTCTCATCCATTAAGAATGTCTTAAATGTTATGTACCATCGTTTAGTACACTACTGCTCTCTGTAACCAGTTCCATATGCATATCTTTAAAGATTTTTGAGCTTGCTTCAAAGATATTTTTTCTTAAATTTTGTTTTAAATACGGTCCTATCACATCTCTTTTTTAGCAAACTCCTCTAACTTAACTTTTTTTTTTTTTAAATGTTCCCATCACGTTTTATATGTTTAACACTCAATACGTTGCGACCTTTCTTTCTTTAATGAATTATGTTTCGTGTTCTTTTTGACTCTTACGGCAGCATCATTACTCGAGCCTCAGGTTTTCCTATATAAGCATATCTGCATTCTGAGTAACATTATCCTGATCTTTTATCCAGATGATGATATTTCCATTGGAACACTTGATGTTCTCTATCAAGGTTCAGAGTTTCAAAGTTTTGCCAAACCATCTTACTTTGATGATCCTTTGCTAGCATCTGTTTTAAAAACCTGCAGTTTTTTCGTGTTTGTTTTTGTTTTAATCCAAGTTCCAACGGAAGATCATAATCCCGCCTCAGAAATTACCGTTAAACATATATATATATATATATATATATATATATATATATATATATGTAACTTCATGCTCTATAGTAAGAAAAAAAAAATTATTTTTGTGTTTTTTTTTTCAATAACAGCGTATACATTGGCATAACTTATCATTGCAAACGTTCACATTGTCAGAAAGTTTTATTGAAATATTTTTTTAAAAAAATTAAAATTAAATACTCTTTTTGTAGCCCTTCTTTGACCTACCTGGACGCTGGCTAACATCAAGTACAACAAAGCAATGTTAAAAATAATCCTCTTCATTGCGCCTTGTGACGCTGGAGATTCTAAGTGTAGAAAATGAACACCAAGTTATGGAACAGGCAGACGTGTGCTTGGCAGCATTCGGGAACAAAAGTTTTAGCCGCTGTTGATAATACAAAGGCAGTTTCAATAAGGGTTGTCCAGCATTACTACTACTAATGTTAACCAGCAAGTTGACCAAAAATTATTTATCATCATTTATCTACCCTTTGAGCAAAACTTTCTTTGTAGTTATCTTCCATTAATGCCACGTCACAGGACCAAATAACATCAATGGAATTATCGACTAACGCAACGCTAATATATATAAATTTTTTTTATGTTTTAAAGAAGTGTACGATAATATAAGTGTATTATAAAACGTTCAAAGGCTCGATTTCACTCTCTCGTGATGGTGACCTTTGAAACAGCGATAAGAAAGAAGCTTTATCTCCATTAAAGTCAGAGCCCGTTGATCAAAAATTTGCCATTTGACGTGCAGAACTCTTAATTTTTTAAAGAGAGGGAAAAAATATTCAATAAAAAAAATGAGTAGTCTTCATTTGAGTACGTCAACATCAAACCGTGAAACTTAGCAAGCTAGCCAAATTTTAAAATAATGTCACATGCATTCTATATATATTTCTGACGTATTACACCAAGAGAATTTCATGTAATGCCTTCTATCGTCATATTTTCTATAGAGTGTCGGGATTTAACATTAGCCAATGCATTATGCAGCAAGAGAGAGAGTAATATATATATATATATATATATATATATATATATATATATATATATATATATATTTTATAAAAAAAATTCATATTTTCTATATAGTGTGTGGATTTAACATTAGACAATATATTATACAGCAAGAGAGAGAGTAATATATATATATATATATATATATATATATATATATATATATATATATATATATATTCCTGATAAACAAAATATTCGTGACTACTTTGACAACCATCTAACCTAACTGCTCGGTCCATAAGGTGTCATGTTTTTATATCTGAATCTCGAGGAATAACTTTTGAGCTATTTTCAAAGTAGATTATAATAACTGTATATTGTTGCACAGTCAACGAATTGCAACAGGCATCACTGTAATGAAAAAGAGGGATCTGAAAACATTATTTAATTCAATATTCTAGCTTTATTTTAAAATTGTATTGAGTGTCTAACAAGGAAATTCCTGTCCAAAATTGACACTTAATTTTTATCATTTTTCAAAATTACTTTATACCTGAAAACATTATTTTTTTTAAATACATTTGTTTGGTCCCGATTTGGGTCAAGTCAAAGGTAAAGAATCGAACCCAATACAATGGCTAGGCATCTGACCCGATACAAAGGCTTCGCACTTCACCCAATACAAAGGCTAGAGATCTGACACGATACAAAGGCTTCGGACCTCACCCAATACAAATGATATGGACATGACCCAATGCAAAGCAGCTACCATGAGACCATACCGCTAGTCGTTTGTTCGCAGGGCTGACGACGACTTCCAGTAAACAATCCAATGTTACGAAACTATCTCACACAAGAAAAATCGAACGGATATAATTTTTTTTTTAAAATTTACCGACGATATTCCAATGGAAGACGTTTAATAGAATTTCACTAGAGGGAAAGGATTGGCTATAAGCAGCACAATATTCAAACTCTAAAAAAATGTCGATATCATTAAGGATTTACCCATCTAAAAATTGATCACGTTTTCATTATTGAATTTATGGCTTTGAAACATTAATTCTACGAAGATTTAGAGGAGCAACAGTAGACTCGCACCATGTAGTTGTGACAATCAATATAAGCATAGAATTTGTAACATCAAAAATATATATCAAATAAAAGAGAAAATCAGTATAACAGCTATAAGTAAAGTAGGGACACACAAATTACTGAGCTATATCAAAATAAGATTCTAACGCAACAAGAATTATCAAGATGAAAGGAAAAAAGCAAGTACTGTCAATATGAATGAGCAATGGGGAGCAACGGAAAAAATTGTTAACTGTGAAACAGATTTAAAAAATCGATTCAAACAGACAGAAGTGGATGATGTAGAATGCTAATAACATCTAGAAGAGAGAAATAAGGCTGGGATAATGCTGCTGCCATCGTAGAACAGAGTAACACTATCAATAGGAAATTACACAAGAAGGGTTATTACAAAGTTTGTAGAAGGAAAAAAAAATGATTGTGAAAAGTATACGGTAGTAGAGATAGAAGATTTCTCAAAAGAATGAATTGTATGGAAATTTATCAAAAAAAAAAAAAGAAGCAAGAAATACATTCTTTCCAATATGTGTGAATTATGGATGACCTTTTCACATTCTTCTTATTAATATTTAACTTAACCTGTAAAAGCTTCAGAGAGTTCCAAGAGGTACTTTAAAATGAGCGAGTATAAATCTGTTACCCGTAAAATCTCCGTGTAAAAAAGGTATCAAAATTATCGTTTGAAAGTTGGCCTTTCCTAATCCTTTAGATAAATACTTAGTTTAAATTTTAGTTTGTAAAAATCATTTAGGGGCCCGATGTTAAAAGTTATAATAATAATTTGGTTCCCGGTAGACCAACCTGAGTTTCAAAAAATTGAAATAGCCCGGGCTACTTCTATGACAACAGAAATCAACCATGAAAACTTTCAGGGCTATATGTCCAATAGATTTTTTGAATTTCTAAAGATATAACAAAAACATTTATATACATATATAAATAATCAAGATAGAGATTGTTTGCTAATTTTAAAAAACTATAAATCAGTTGTGGGTCTTAGGGAAGTGTTCATACTAGGTCCTTGAATTTATCACTTAAAAATGTGGCCTAATCAAATTACTCTAGATTATCTTATCTAACCTTAGAAAGTTATATTTCGGTAAAGTGAAGAGTTTAGGCCATAAACATTAGGTACACTCAATTTTATTGAAAGAAGAGCCGGATAAAACACGTTTAGGCAAATGTTAAGGTAGACTTTAACATTTGAAAATCGATTTAAGGACTCTGGCGTTAAAAAAGTTTTCAATTGATTAAGTCGCCGTGTCTAAGAGCTACACAAGTAATCAAAGAAAACGGCGGCGTCGGGTGGGAATGGTCACGTTTACAATTTTCACATTAAAATCGTTTTAGAAATTCAATTTTCACAATTTTCAATTTTTTTTAAATTGAACACCTCCGTGGCCTTAACTGATAAAGAAATAACTTATGTCAAAAGGAAGTTTGACCCCACTGTTTTCACGAAATAAAATTCCCGATAGCTGCACTTGATCAGATTTGTAAAAATATCGCAAGTGCTTTTGAAATGGTTAATGATTTACGGTATCTGAAAATGTCCACTCTCCTAAAGAAGTGTTTTATTTAAAATAAAAAATACATTTCTAGGATATATTTTGCTTATACTTATTCACTAAAAATGTTAAGAAAAGATTCTTAGCTCATTCGAATTGCACAAATGGTTTAAAAATATTTTATCAGGCGATCACACAATTACCAAAAGTTTATTTGATATCTGTCGTGTTTGTCAGTGGGATTTGGAAACATGGCGGTGTAATGTTGGTGTACCCGTAATTGTATTGAATTTGAACAATATTTATATTTAGAAATAATTTTTTTTGCAATGAAAAATATTCTCAAAATTACAAAGCTCATCAAGAATTGCATTGTATAGATCATCGTGCAGGCAATGAAACAAATAAACATTTGTATATATATGTGTATAGTTATACAATATTAATCTAAATGTACAAATCGTAAAATTACTTCTATATTTTCTTGATATATAACATTGGCATTGAACAAAAAGAGGAAAAAAATGGCTGAAGAGAAACTGTTTATGGCTGACTGAAATATTTCTTATGTCTGTCTGTAATACTGCTTATGGCTTACTGAAATACTACTTATGACAGACTGAAATATTGCTTATGGCTGACGGATGTCATATTAGCAGCAATATAAAATCATAAAATAACACTTTTACATTTTAAGACAAAGCGGAAAAAGTACAATTTGTTTTGGATAGTTTATATAATAAAATAATCAGTAAAACTTGTTGATGGCTTCCTAGACGTTGAGGAGTAGGAAATAAACAATTTAACTGTAGACGTATTGATTTGCGTGGTAATAATAAATTACACCTGATTCACAGAGGCAAAATATTTACCGGTTTCTACTTTGGTAAATGTCTATGACTTCAATGTAGCATGACAATTAAATTTTATCAATTCTCAACCGACATCTATCTGCTTGTACAAGACAATCAGTTCTGACATGAAATATGTGTACATAAACAAAATAATTAATCCTCAAATGAAATCTGTGTCCATGTAAATGAAATCAGTTCTCAACTGTAAGCTGTCTACCTGTAAAAGCCAATCAGTTCTGAACTGTAATATCTACATGGACAAGGTCATCAGTTCTAAACTGTAATCTGTCTACCTCTACATGGCAATCAGTTCTAAACTGTAATCAGTCTACCTGTACATGGCTATCAGTTCTAAACTGTAATCTGTCTACCTGTACAAGGTAATTAGTTCTCGAATAAAATCTCCCGAGTTTTATAGTCAGTTAATTCTGAAATAATTATAGACCTCCTTGAGAAGAATGTCAGGTCTCAAATAAAATATATCCAGCGTTATCAGGTAGTCATTTCTTAAATGATTTCGGTCTCTCAGTAGAAAGTGATCAGTTTTCAACCGAAATGTGTCCACCTATACAAGATAGTCCTTTCTTATAGGAAATTTGTCCATCCGTACATGGCGATCATTTTTCAACCTAAATCAGTCCACCTTCACAAAGTGGTCGTTTATCAAATAAAATCGAACTACACTTCTCAGTGGTCGCGCCTGTATCATGTTGTCAGTATTCAACTTTTATCTTTCAATCTTTACAAGACGGCTAGTTGTCATTTAAAAATGACAGCCCGCACAATACAGGCAGGTCTCATACTGCAACAGAATGTCATTTCTCAAATAAAATATGTTTGTCAATTTCAGAAGACATTGTTTCGTGAATATTTATTGGTACAGGTCCCTTGCATTGGCATTGGTTCAGTTGCCTAGCTTTGCATTGCTTTAGCTCCTAAGCCTTATATTGGTTCATGTCTGTTAAACTGACCACGAATACAATATTTATATAGGTCCCTCGTTTTACTTTACGTAGATTAGTAATGCCACTAGGGCCATGTATAGAATATGTTTATGT